CACCCACCCCCCCCCCCCCCCCCCCCCCCCCCCCCCCCCCCCCCCCCCCCCCCGCCCCCCCCGCGCCCCGCCCCCGCCCCCCCCCCCCCCCCCCCCCCCCCCCCCCCCCCACATTGAGTAAGCGCCTTGATCCCTTTTTTTTGGTCTTAAGAGGTAACAACTTCTTAAGTGTTGATTATAAATTCATTTGTTTACTAGGGCCTTAATTCGAACCGATGAAAAATTAAATTTAATAAATATGAAGTGTGTTTATACATATTTTTAAACATCAGGTTAGGAGGACCTATGGCAAAGGGAAAAAAGGTTAGTTACATACATGTGTACTACGCAGGATACACGGTACCTAAACTTTACGCAGCCCATGCATCCTGCAGCCCACCGAAACGCGAGATCCAGACCCCTCACCCAGTGGAGATTTACCTATAGTATTGTACCACGCCAGCCGCAGGAAGTAGACCAGCTAAGAGCAGCTTGCATAAAGATGTGTTTATTATTGTACGAAGTAAAGTTGGGGTTACCTAATAAATTAGGTGCATATCACCTTTTCAAACCATGTAAGTCGCATCGCCTGTTTTCTGCTTCAAAATTACTTGAAAAAATTTTAGTATTTACTTTTTACTTGGTATTCACTTGGTATGGTTACCGACTTGATCGATCGATTTATAAAACAGACTTCGCAATTTGGTTGGTTGCCTATGGACCTGCTTGCTATCTAGTCCGAATGAAATAATTCATCGCGCACTCATATCATAAAAAAACATAGCGAAGATCCTCCACCATGACGTCCAACCATATATCAGATTCGTATATCGGTTGACGAGAGAGGATACTGTACGTCGTTAAGCAAAGCTACCATAATAGAAAAATGAGATATCGACGATAATATGCGTAATCGATAGTCAACGATAGTCGAGATGGGTGTACTATCCGGAGGCGAAAAAAAAAACCGAAGGCCGATCTTCGTTGTCGAGCCATTTCAATGTCATATATGAAGCCTGAATCATATGTAAACGCGTGGTTACATAAGACAATGCCATTAAACCAAGTCGTTAGCATCATCCTCCTCCTTCTCTTTCTTTTCTTGAGCTTCGATGTCAGCCTTGATAGCAGCCTTGATCTTAGCATTGGCTTCTTCCTCGTCGTCTTCCTCGAAGCTGGAAAGAGCCTTGCTGGCGGTCTTGGCCTTCTTGCCGGAGCGGGGAGTCTTCTCAACGCTAGCCTTGCGCTTTCCGCCGCGTTTGGTGGGCGTGCTGGGCTCGCTGGTCTGAGCTGCCGTTATTTCACCCGAAGCTAAGGCCAGCTTCTTCTTGATGGGTGCGAAGCAAGAACGAGCGGTTGAGACGTTCTTGAAAGGGGCAAGCTTGGCGAGCTTGTCCCAGTTGATCTAGAACGCAGTTAGTCGATGCCAAGAGCTGATCCAACGTAGTTTCATTCAGGAAGCGACAAGATGCCAAGTCAATGTCATAAGGTGAAAGGCTGAAGACAGCAAGTGGGACATTCACGGTGTTTTAGCTAGCCGAGGCCTTGCTAGCAGTTAAGTGAAGGTGAAAGGGTAGTTTCAGTCTTACCTTGGGGGCAACCTCAAAGCACTGCCAAGCTATTGCGAGAACCTCCATCTCTCGAGCGCTGAACTGGGGATAAGCCTCCTTGGTGGGTGTTGCCTTTGACGCCATGATAATGGGCAGTAATAGGCACTACTTGTAGGATGCGTTGGCGAGGGTGCCCTTGAGCTTTTAGAGGTGCGCGGAGAAGAAAGGTGTTGAATGTGTATTGTGTAGACGCAATCAAAGCTGCAGTGGAGAAGATCTGTAGAATTTGGTGATATTTTGACTGTAGACAATCCGAACTACTTGGAAATGTAGAGGTAGAAGAGTAAGTGCTTAAGGTTAGCTGCAGCCTCGAATAACCATGTACCTAGGTGGTATATTCGTAGGTGTGAATGTTCAGGTGAAAGGGTAAAGTGAGTATGGTTTGAAGGTGTAAGATAGATGGGAAAGATGTATGGTGAAAGGAAGTGGAAGGAAACCTGGCTGCTTGCCTGATTGTATTGTATTTGGGAAGGTATAGGAAACTATGGATTGATGGATTAAAGTAGGAAAGAACTAAAGTCGTCTACGAAGTTTGTGCACTTGTTTTCACCAACTTGCATTCACATTCATGTTGATGAAATAGAAGTTGCGTCAGTAGTTTCAGCCACCAGCCTTCATTAGCATAGTAACCAGTTATTTCTGATAACTGTGAGCTTTAGCAAAAGCAGGCACAGGTAACAGGGCCTACAGAGTGCAGGTGGCTGCTGGTATCTGGTCGACAATAAAACATGGAACTTAATCTAGGTAGATTCTCATACGGTTAGATCTGGTTGCACAAGAACAGAGATGTGATAGACGAAAATGGGGGGCAAGTATTCCGGCTCTTTAGCAGCTGTGAACTTGTCTTCTCAACTCACATTTAAATACAAGATTTGGCTATTCCAAAATACATCGTATCTACTATGGTAAACATGGAAACATATGGCATACTTATGATTAATTTATAGCATTATCTGCCCTTAAACTTAGGAATCTTAATAGTGTACCTAAGGTAAACCATCTTGTCCATTTGACCTTGGATGGAACAGAACATATCAAGGATTATTCGTTGTCCCACATGACCCAGGTACGTAAACGTCAAGTAGTAGGCACACTAAGTTAGGTAGATTATATCGAACCAAGGGTTAATCAATTCGACGTTTATCTATTTATCTATGGTATCAACTCATCAACTCCTCATACCTCCATTATAATTAAATGGTCACCTAAGAGCCAATGCAACATTGTGACTCGATCCTTTAACGAGTAATAAGAGCATTATTTCTTAAAAGTTGCATAGAATGAAATGCACCAAGGCACACCAAAATAAACGAAAAATGCCCCAAACCCCCGTTCATGATAAGATAATAAGAGAGGTCCCTTGTCAAGTGCGAAGTTTCGGTGAAGTCGTGCCAAGCCTCGGAGTTAATTTTTGGTGTGAGAGGCAATATGCACCAAAACGGTATCTGTATATGGCTTGCCCCATAATGACAGTGCTCAGATTGAGATGGATAAATGAATTCGGGAATTATATCCAGTTCGGCCGATTATCAACACCAAGTGTCGGACTTTGTCTCTGATTCAACCTTGAAACTCACCAACTGATTGATTAGATTAGATCAAGGCTGAACCACCACCATAAAGCTTTCTTCTTCAATCCCTATTTAAATTACTGTAGCCTTGTTATGGACGAATCACAGAGCGTAAAGACCGACCGTCGCCGTCGCCGCCCTGCTCTCTCTTGCGTTAGTTGTCGAAGGTCTAAGATTCGTTGTGACCGCAACTTACCTTGCGGCGCTTGCGTCCGTTCCAAGCATAAGACATGCGTATATGGGCCTCAAGGCCGGCATTCGGAAGTAACTTCTGCTCCGATCGGCCCACATCCGGCCGATCTGTTATCTGGCGTAGACTCCGAGCCGGCTGTTTCGCCTGTGACCAGCGGGTCTAGCCACACGCATCGCGGCGATGTTCTACACGAGGGTCACACAACTCTTTCTTTGAATGGCTCTACTTCGGTCGACTCAACCTCTTCTCAGAGCCATGGACCGTCTTTCGATGTTAAGTCTTTACTAGACCGAATCAAGGATCTCGAGCGTCGCCTAGAAGACTCCACCAGAAATTACTCACCTCAGAAGAACGCCGCCGGACGGCCACGTACCACTGAGCCGGATTTTGTGGCCACCTATCCTAGCTATCTCGCGGGAGAGCTGCATACCATGAATAAAAGTGTTATAACGAAAACACGATACCTTGGTCAGAGCCATTGGATGAATCAAATAGGAAGCGTATGCTATTTCTCATACTTCTTTTTCTCGTTTATTTTGTTTCTATCGTGTCCGTTATTAATGTATAGATACCTATGTACCTTGTATTGATAGGCTACTTACACATATTTAGTTCAAATGCATTCTAGAAATATTTGACCAACAGCATCTAGAAAAGAATTCAGAGCCGATTGCGATGGTAAACCGATGCAAGGCGCTGGCTCGGACCGTTAAGGCGCAAAGAGCACCCGCACAAGCCGTCAAGTTTGGTGCTAGCCTACCGCCACGAGAAGTCGCGGATAAGCTGGTAGACGCATATCTTCGTACATCAGAAGCAGTCCTTCGGATATTACACGTCCCGTCATTTAGAAAGGAATATGAAATTTTCTGGCTGTCGCCTGACTCTGCTGATCTCCCCTTCTTGATTCAACTTCAGCTCGTCATGGCGATCGGTGCTGCGGTCTATGATGATCACTATACCCTGCGCAAATCGGCTATGCAATGGGTATATGAGGCGCAATGTTGGCTCATATCACCGGTTCCTAAGACAAGGCTAACTATCACTGGTCTGCAGGTTATGCTGCTCCTCTGTCTTGCGCAACAAACTGCGCTCGTTGGCCAGGACCTAGTCTGGATCTCGGTGGGACAACTAATGCGCACAGCAATGTATATGGGCCTTCATAGGGACCCAAAGAAACTGCCCAAGATGAACCAATTACGCTCCGAGATCCGGCGGAGGTTATGGAATAGTATACTCGAAATCGCGCTGCAGACCAGTCTTGACTCTGGCGGGCCGCCCCTGATCTATCCTGAACAGTACGATACTTGTGCACCAGCCAATGTTGACGACGATCAATTGAAGGACGACGACATGCTGGCCGTAGCTAACCCGCCAGACAAGTTCACAGATATGTCGGTGGCCATAGCATTTCATGCAAGCTTTTCGGCGCGTTTAGCCATTGCGCGGCTTCTCAACGAAATCGGAACGAAAAACACTTATGACGATACTATCCAACTTCATAACCAACTTAGCACCGCGTACAAATCTCTCTCACAACAGCTCCAACGGTTCTCGCTTGGCGACAGACAACCGACAGGGTTCCAACGACGCTTGGTGGACCTTCTCGTGCGCCGTTACTTCATGGCACTTCATCTTCCTTATTTTGGCCCAGCTATGAACGAGCCAGCTTACGCTTTCTCCAGAAAGACTGTAGTAGAAATAAGTGCGAAACTATATTCTACCGTTTTCCCCGCAGCGTCCTTTAGTCCTCGGCCGATGCGGCCTCAAATAGATGACCTAAGGCAGATGTCCATTGTCCCAGATGAGGATGAATTAGCCCGATTTGCCACTTCCGCGGCAGGCTTTCCTCGTAATATCCTTTCGCAGGCATCGATGGCTATCGGTCTTGATCTTCAAACCCAATTACAAGAAGACGACAGCTTAGGGCCGCCAACCCCTCGAGCGGATCTGCTCAATATTTTCAGAGACTCCATTGCGTGGATCTACCGTCGCATCTATATTGGGGAAACAAATTCGAAGGGCTATTTGTTTTCGTTGGCACTATTAACGAACATTGAAGGGTTAATGAAGGGCCTGAGACGAGCAGACATCGTAGATTCTGTCATTAAAGCTGGTACCGACTCGATGCGCGACTGTTTTGAATTGCTTAAGCAGCAAGCTGCCCCGCAGCCTGATGAAGCCGCTACTACGATCGATACACAACTTGATTTCGACACCATGATGGCGGTGGATCAAGACTGGAAATACGATAACACGGTAGGCCATTCATGCCCAAACAATTCACAACGATATGGCCAACTAACAGTTAATGGCCAGATGCAAAATGTCCTATTTAATTTCACCAACATCGATTCCGTTTTAGGCATGCCCACTGGAACTGATATGATGGGAGCGGACTTCTCTCAATGGTAGTTGTAGTTGACAAAACCGCTGCGTCTTTCATATACGACTAACTACCTCAGGTACCCAACCTAGGTAGGAGTGAGGTACAACCAGATACTTATCTTCTGCACCTTATATCCTGTTTTTACTCAGAAAAAACGCTCCTCATTTCGTATTTTACATACCTCCTCGATACAACGGTTGTATTCCACCACAGCCGGTAATGACTGCATACTTAATTTATTGCTGACCAATATTTCGCCTGCGACGTCTACGTTAACCATACGTAGCTAAGTGCCCTCCTTCACGATGTCTCATATAAACGCTGGTAAAACGAGGGCAAGTCATTAGGACTCGCATATATCCCTGCTCTCATTAGTTATTGAAGCGGTTTCCCAACCCCTGCGACTTCTGGTATATCCACTGATGGGCAGTAATCTCTTCGTCCTCGCTTTCCTTTCCCTCGGGAACATCTCTTCCTTGAATTGGTTTCATTACACATTTGTCTTCCGGCCGAACGAAATATACGATGCTATATCGAGGAAATCGGCCTTGGGCTCCAGGAGACGGGATTACTCGATGACGCCCCGAACATAATATGCCGTTGGTGAATCGGACGGCGGCATCGCCTAGGTTAATGATGGCGCAACCTCTTTTCGGGTTGACCCAGAGCCATTCGCCGGGTACATCTGGCTGGAAAGTGTTAAGTTGAGCTTTCCTCGCCGACTCGGACCAGACCTGTAGTCCGCCAAGCCAATTCATTAAAATAGTGATCCTATTGGCCGTGGAGATTAGCAAAGATCGTATAGGAACTAACGAAAGGGGGGGAATCGACAGCCACAGTCACTTACGTTCCGAAGTCGGTATGTGAGGGGGTCTGGATCTCGGGCATCTCATCTTTTTCCCGGGGCGGACCCCTTGTGATGCGAACATGGTCACCTGAGAGCTTTTCTATTCTGTGGCGTTTTGCCATCTCAGACGGATCGATGCCGAGCTTCTCCGCAAGGATCTTCAGGATCATAAGTCCGATAGAATGTGCGGTTTTGACGTACTCAGCGAAGAGGAGCTTCGCGTCTAGGACGGCGGGCGGCCAAGGACGGAGCATACGGTCGTTTGGCACAATCATGTCATTCTTTCCGACGTTGAAGAATTCGGCCGTATCTGGAGTTCCGGCCGTATCCGTAACAGTCGCGCCGGCATATTTGTAACCGAATAATGACTTTCCCATCTTATAGTCCATCTTTTCGGCTAACGGTAACCGGAAGACGCGTTCTCCCACCGACGCAATCTGTTCGGCACCTCGGCGGATGACATCGCCCTCAGCACAGCCGTCCAGTTCTAAGTAGAAAAAGCCGCGCCCGACACAGGCATCAAACACGCGACCCTGCTCGGCGGAGTCGCCATTGAGGAGCTTAGTTAAAGCTATTGTCTCCAGTGAGATCTGAGGTACGTCCGACGGGAAGGGCGGGTATAGTTCTGGGGTGAATTCGGTCTGTTCTTCTTCTTTGTGAGGCATGGCTTGTTAGTATAGCTGGCTATTCGCAGATTGTTTGAATCAATATCAATTCTATAATAGTCAAAGATAACCTGGGGATGTTGCAATTTTATATACGAGGTACCTGAGGTAACCGAAACTCTATCCCGTGTTATAGGTACCTAATTACGGAAATAAGACGGGAGACCTCGGGTAGGGTAGCGGAGGTGAAGATGAAGCGGGGTGAGGCTTAACGATAATTTGTGAATACTTATATTGGAGGTAGGTGGGTTAGGTCGGCAGGTATCGAAGACGGAAGGTTGCATAGGGGGATTCCTGTTGACAGCCAATGTGACGCCGATCGCACTGCCGACAAGAGCTCTCCAAGCTTCTCCGCATAGCTCTTAGCCGCTGTTGTCCCGCTTCTTGAATCACATAGCTTCTACCTGTATACCTTAGGTAGCTAGGGGGTATGGTCAAAGGGGCTTTTTTGGACAAAGCAACGGAGATATCAAAGAGGTATCGGAGAGCTTTCCGCTCAAGCTTATACTATTCACTATGTCACTAGGTCAAATACCTAGCCCAGTGAATGAAGAGATTACCTACGGCGTAGCTCTGATAACAGTGGTTGTCATTAATTAAGATGATTTATCTTATAGAAATCCAGGGGGAAATATCATGAAAACTACGAAGTAGGTCTAAACATATTCTAGCAGTAACCAGATAGTATTTTGAAGGGGCTCTACAATACTACCTAGTATGGCATATGAAAATTACCTTATATTAAGTATGCCTGAGCAATACCCCGCGCTCCTAAACTACATACATACCTCCTCCTATAGATTACCTCTTTCGCGTCTCGAGATTCTCTCCATCAAGCCACCTTTTTATGCATAGGATTAGCCCGTCCGAGACTCATGCCGACTTCCACCGAGACTTGTATCTTCTGGCGACTGAGGTCCAGCAAGTCCTGGTCGAACTTGATCGCCCCCTTTTGGAACGCGACGATGATGGAAGACCCGCCGAATTGAAAGAACCCTATCTCGTCGCCCTTCTTGATCTCGGTACCGGGCTTTTGGAACTTGTCGTGAATGCTGTTTGTAGCAGAGGTACATAGGTATGTTAGAATTTTGTTATTTTCTTCATGTCATATCATTTGAGATGAAAATGAGATGAGATTTAGAACGAATGAATTGCGAAGAAGCGAACGAAACACACTTACCGTACGGTTCCGACGTCCGTCGCTCCGATAGCTACGAATAACACGTCGCCGAATTGCTCCGTTTCGATAACGAGGTAGCTGCGTGCGTTAGACGTGAGGATATTCACGCCGCTCTGCAGCGCGACGGGATCGACTTGGTAGTAATCTCCCGGAATGCTGCGGAACGTCTTGGTCGCGCCCGTCACGGGCGAGTGGTACCGATGGTAATCCTGCGGCGACAGGCGGAAACTAGCCACCGCCGCATCGGCGAAGTGCTCCCCGAGCTGGGTGTCCATGACCAGGTTTTTCATGGTGAAGTCGGTGCCCTTGATCCACAGCTTCCTCGTCTCGGCCACGGATTCGTACGTGACGACGCGGGAGTCGGCGACCACCACGGCGCCCGCTGGGTCGTCGGGGGAGTCGATGGGTCGGGATCCGGGGCGGTGCGCGCGGACGAAGAAATCCTCGAAGGTGCGGTACTTCTCGACGTCCGAGGGCTCGAAGTCGTCCATGTTGATGCCGTAGGTGTCAACGAACGCGCGGATCTGGCCGTGCGAGGCCGGAGTGCCTTCCTCCACGCCCTTCCGGACGGACTTGTTGTGGATCCAGAGCCGCATCAGGTGCGTGGTGTCGATCCATTCTGTGAGCGGGTTGAAGAGGAGGAGAAGCTTGATCTTCTTGGTTAGGGGTTGTTGCTCGCGCATGAGTTGGCCGGTCTAGATGAGATTTAGTGAAATGTTAGATGGGTGAACTTGATTAACTAGCGAGTTGGTTCGAACTTGGATCACTTGGATCACTTACCTTGCGGTCAAAGGACTTCCATCCGTATTCTCCGTTTGAAGACTGTAGGTGTCGCAAGTCAGCATAACCCTTAATCATTTAGGGGTAGGTCAAGAAATGCGTGAATGCTACTCCACTTACCAAGTGACATCTTGCTAGCAGATGGTCTAGAAAGGAGTCGATAAAATGATATAGATACCGGAAGATTTCGGCGAGTCCCATCTTCACCCGCAAAGAATGAGTTTGTTTAGATCGCGTCTGGTGTATCCTACGTTGTACCCCTTACTGCGATCACGATACGAACTGGTTTTATGTGTCTGTCCCAGTAGCTAAAATCTCTTTAAGTGAGTAAAAATAATATAAGTTTATTTTTATTATTTTTTTTTTGAATTTTCTCATTCATGCTTAATTCGTCTCTATGAATGTTACAAGCCTTATTATTTATTACCTTATTGTTAGAATCCTAGAATCTCTAATAGGAACCTCCATCATAGAAATCTTTAGTGACGTCATCGTGACTTCAAGTTCTGAGATCTCGTCACCAAAGATCTATCCAGTTGGCTGAGAGGATGGCGAAAACAAAACAGTCTTCGACTTGGTTGACCTCATATTTATTTTCTATATTTATTTTCTGTCGTCAATAACCATACTTTTAACATTTAGTAGTTTTTATCTCTTTGATGTGTATCCTTTCGTTTCATAAACATGGATTCAATGTGAAAAGTCGACTTACACCCGAGGAGAAAAAAAAAAAAAAACGGAGCTGGGGTATTTATCACGCGGTCCGGGGAAAAGGAGAGATCTCATTTTGATCCCTTGTCCGTTAGAGATAGCCGATGGCATGGGCTCGAACCTTATTGTGCCACTTCTTCTCACTAGGTTACCGTCCTGTCCATCCAAGAGGTCGATTTTCAAGAAAACAGAGATGCCTGAACACCAGCAAAACCCTAATTTTATTGGACAAAAGTCTACTGAATTCTCAGATAAGTTTACCTATTCCATCCAACTCCCAAGTTACCGTATCACCGTATCACCGTATTTACCGAGGTACTCTTTCTGCTCTTGGTCGGCCGTACTATTGATTGCTAAACTAAAAAAACGATGTCTTCACCCTAAACCGGATCCTTATTTCTTCTCCACGTCGACGAGGTCCACACCGAGGGCTTGTCTTTGGGGGGGGCACAAGTTGGAGAAAAGATGGGGGAATGGTCCCGCTTCTTCGGTCGCTTCTTTTGCGCAATTTCACAAACGGCATCATTGCCCGAACCGACAATAGGAAAAGTTCCTCTCGCACTAATCTCGATAGGGCTTACGGCTTTTCAAAGAGGTTGTTGACCCTGCTATGGTCTCCTCTTAAAATCGTAAGATATCAAAAAGCTGAGGGGCTGGCGTTTGAATTTGACGAATCTCTACCTCATGACTGTCGACTGTTAAAAAAAAAAAAAAAAAAAAAAAAAGGAGAGACAGGGAGAGAGAGATGAGAGACGAAATACAAGTAAAATTCTTCCTTCTCTCCATCCATTGAAGTACCTAATGGGGGGTCGGATTTGGAACCCCCAGATTGTGCTGCTTCTAAAGGCCGCTACTTTTGTGTCCGCACTTATGCAGACAAGACCTTCTAAAGTTCTGTTTTTTTTTCCTGAACAAGGTAAAATTCCTGAATGAGGTAAAACTCCCGAATCTAAGCGACGGTGAACGATTTGGGAGAGGCATGTATGTAATAGCTTTGCGGGGATGATGCACATTGATAATAGGTATGAATTCCCAAGTCTCTGGTTGGACCATGATCAACAATCTATTACGACATCGTCTATTAATGTTCTTCGATTTAATCTTGGCCGTTTATTTCAATTTTCAGGTTAGCTGGCGGTGAGCTGACAGGGGGATAGGTTCCAACGGCTTATCCAGTCCCATTTGTTGATTGTTGATTGAATATATCGCCGACCTGAGTTGTAAGAAGCTGGTTGGTATCGTGTCTTATCTTATAGTAGGCTTACTCACGGCACTCCAAGCACAGCTTCAGCATTCAGAACGACGATTGTCAACCTGTAAATCTTTCCCGTAGCTATACTAATAGCTTTCATGATGTTGATTGGTACATTATTTCTTCAACAGACATCCCTGGCCACTCCTGGCACCCCATTTCCTCCCCCCCCCAATACCCCAAAGCGCCAAGACGCCGAGGAAGAACCTCGTCGTCCCCCGAATCTTTTCTCGTTGTTGCTTCCTCTCACGTACTAGCTTGTTGGCCCCGCAGTATGGGGTGGTTCGAATGGGGATCATCCCCCTGCCTTGGCCTTTAGTTAAGCTGCTGCAAGCTCACATGGGTTGCATGAGCCGAACGAGCGTGTGGTACCACACAGATTTTCGGTTCTTTAACCGGGATGAGTTTCCACGATGCTGGTCAGATAAAAACCTCACCATCGCCCTGTTGACACCCTTCTTTTTCTGTACCGGGTTGTTCTCCTGTCATTTTCCGGGTTTCCCCACGTTGGTTGGACAATCCCATTATTTGTGGTTTTTTCCGAGAAAATTTATTTTTTCTTTTCTACACTCAACCAACCATTGGGATCAAGAAACTAGATTTGGGGAACCACTACTTTGGACATATCGTTCATCATGGCCGATGAGATAACAAGAGCTGAGCCCTCATCACGACTCACGGTGAAGCAGGATGTGGAAGCGTTGGAACATACTACAGCACCCCAAGCTACTCCTTCTAATCTACTGGCTGCCGCTTCGATGGACCCGGAGCATCGTGCGCGCGTAGAGAAGTCATTGGTGCGCAAGCTCGATGCGCGATGCTCTCTTTTCGTGCTCATCTATATCCTCAACTATCTCGATCGCAACAACATCGCGGCCGCTCGGCTCCAGAAACTTCAGTCAGACCTGAATCTCGATGATGTACGTACCTAACCCATCAACTACTCACAATCGGTGATCTTGTGGCCACTGTTACATCTGTTTCTTCTCGGCGGCCCACCGTGCTAACTGCCGATAGACACAATATGCGACTTGCCTGAGTATCTTGTACGTCGGGTACATCCTGATGCAGGTCCCGTCGAACATGTTCATCAACCGGATACAACGCCCGTCCATATACATCGCATGTTCCATGTGTCTATGGGGTCTCATCTCTACGCTCAGCGGGAGCACGCATAACTTTACCGGCATGGTTCTTGTGCGTTTCTTCCTTGGATTCGTCGAAGCCGCTTTCCTACCGGGAGCGCTCTTGATTCAGTCCAAGTGGTACACGCGAAGGGAGCTGACGACAAGGAATGCGATCCTGTTCTGCGGTAACATTATCTCCAACGCCTTCTCGGCCCTTGTGGCAGCCGGCGTGTTGTCGAACATGCAAGGCGTCCTGGGCCATGCCGCTTGGCGATGGCTGTTCTGGATTGAGGGTGCAATTACCATGGCCATCGCTATTGTTTCCGCCTTCGTTCTTCCCGACCTGCCGCACAACTCTCGCGGATTTACCGAGGAAGAGCTTCAGGTTGCACAGCTGAGAATGATTGAGGATGTAGGCGAGGCCGACGTTGACGAGGCCAACCAAGGTGTTTTTGACGGTTTGATCATGGCTGTCAAGGACGTGAAGATTTACCTCATGATGCTTACCTTTACGGCCTATGTGGTTGGGCTCTCCTTCAATGCCTTCTTCGTAAGTAATAACCGGCCTCTAAAGACTATAGCAGAATTTAATTTGACTAACCGTTTCATACAGCCCACTCTCACTGGTACACTCGGATTCGGCTACGTGCCAACGTTGCTGATGAGCTCACCGCCTTGGGCTTTCTCGTGTATCGTCTCGCTTATAAATGCCTGGCACGCTGACCGAACTCAAGAAAAGGTATGCACATCCACTTCATGAATGGTAGTTTACTATCCTGTTATCGAAATCTGACTGACCTATTCCCTAGTTCTGGCATATCGTTGGACCCATCATCGGCGGGCTTGTTGGTTTCATCATCAGCATGTCGACGCTAAATGTAGCTGCCCGATACGTGGCTCTGTTCCTCCAAGCGAGCTCCTACGCTGGATTCATCGTCTTCTACTCGTGGATCAGCTCTTCGTTTCCTCGGCCGCCAGCTAAGCGCGCCGTCGCCATCGCGCTGATCAACGCGTTCTCGCAGCTAGGCAACGTGGCCGGTAGCTACGTGTGGAACCTGAAGGACAACGGATACCGCAAGAGCTACGGAATCGTCACGGCCATGTTCGGAATCACTATCTTCGGCTGCTGGGCCTTCCGCGCCATCCTGGCAAATCTGAACAAGAAGCTGGAGGAGAGCGAACGTGCCTGGGAGACGCAGCCCGATGATGCGACGCACACGTCTGACGTCAACGCTCCTGACGAGGCACTGCGGTTGCATAAGGGTTACCGGTACATACTGTAACGGAATGGTTATAACGTGTATATATTATGAAGCAAGCTACGAAGCAAGCTGTTAAAGATTGGAGATACCCCCTTTTTATCGCTTTGGTCACTTCTTAGGTGAAGACGGCGGAGCGAGTAAATGAAAAAACAAAGCAAAAAAATGAAGCAAAAATTGTCCCATCAGATATATGATTTTCGGTGATCTTGTGATGATTCAACAATTTGGAAGCGATTAAAGGCAGATCAAATGAAATAGGATCGGCGTGCCGAAGGGAACTAAACGCGAGCAATAACGCGTTAGGTACCTCTTAATTGCTAGTAGCGGTATGGATAGAGAAATATCTGTCTATTAGAAACTATTACTAACCACTAACCGAACCGTAAAAAAAGTCAAAGGAAGGTTCAAGTTATAAAACGTCATAACCACCCGGATGGCCGATCGGGTCGGTCAAAGGTTCCCCGATAGCTTTTTGGTTCCGGCCGGATGCACTGTCCCGCCGGGTTCTCAACATCTCAACACAGGACACTAACAAGTTTTGTTTCGTGTCAGATGTATAATTCTGAGGCAAAGGCAGCTGACACAAAGTAATTTCTCTCCTTCGTCAGTTTCCAGGCTGAATCTATATTGTAACCAATTATTACTTTAAGTATCTTAGGTTAGGAACCAGAGTACCTAGGTAGGTACTTATATACGACTCAAGTCTATTACAGAATAGGGGTTCGCACAAAATGGGACGCACCGAACCCTCAGTCGGCAGGCCGCCAGCGAGCTTCCGTCGCGACGCCCGTGCGAAGCGGGCCAAAGCCACCATCAACAAGGTCATACCGCCGCTGTTGGCGGCGCATCCGCGGGCCCGGAAAGGGATCGAAGCTTCCGAGCTGATCGTCGATCCACCACCTTCATCATCATCACCTTCTTCTTTTGCGTCTTCCGCCCTAGCTTCCCAGGGCAAAACGCAACAGCGCGTTCGTGCGGGATCTACCGCAGGAGAAAGCAACGGTAGGGACAAAAGCCAAGGCTACCCCCGTATCTCGCTCCGCGTGGCGGATGCCCTAGAAGCAGCGCACTCGCTTCTCCTCGTCCCGGAGCACGCGCAGTCTCGCACGGACCAGCAGCGGCGGGATCTGTCGAACACGGCAGCTCGCGTCGGCGTGCTAAACATGGCGTCCCCGTTGTCCGCGGGTGGCGGGTTTCTCAACGGCGCGTCCAGCCAGGAGGAATCGCTGTGCATGCGGTCGACGCTGCTCCCGTCCCTGCGCGACGGGTTTTACCGGCTGCCGGAGCTCGGCGTGGTCTTCACGCCCGACGTGTTAGTATTCCGTGGCTTTGGTAGCGAGTCTCCAAATCAGAAGAAGAAAAAGAGGGGCCTGGGCCTGGTGGACGATGAGGAGGAGGAGGGGGAAGATGACGCGAGGGAGAAGGATGGTGGGAATGGAATGGGAGTTAGAGATACCGCGGGAGAAAGGGCGGGAGAAGACGACGAAGTGTTGCCGAAGCGAGACCGCTGGTTCGTTGACGTCGCATCCGCGGCTATGATACGAATGCCCGAAATCGACGTCGATGAAGAATCTGGATTTGCTAGGTATGCCAACGCAGCGGACCGCGAGCTGGCCGTGCGCAAGGTACGGGCCGTGCTGCGCGTATTTGCTTCTAAAGGAGTGCGCAGAGTTGTGTTAGGTGCGTGGGGATGCGGTGCGTACGGCAATCCCGTCGGCGAGATTGCGAAGGCGTGGCGGAAGGTTTTAATGAGCGGGACTAAAGGAGAGAATGGACAGCAGAAGGGGAAAGGGAATGGGAAAGGGAAGAAGAAAAGGGAGTCGGATTCGGACTCTTGGGAGTGTTTTGAGCACGTCGTCTTCGCCATCAAGGACCCGGGAATGGCGCAAGCATTCGCGACTGCGTTTGGCGAGGAGTTCCTCGAAGTGCAGAATTCTGGCGAGGGAGAAGATAGCGTAGGAAGTGAGGATGAAGGAGATGACGAAGAAGAAGATGCGAGCGTGAAGGAATTACGCAATAAGATCCGGGAGTTAGAGTTACGCACCAAACAGGCGCGGAACCCCCAGCTTAAGGCCGGGCTTAGTTCCGTGCTTGCCAGCCTGAGAAGTCAGTTACCAGACTCCAACGGTATTCCTTCTCGAGAGGATCTTGTAGGCAGTAAATGCGATAGGGATAATGGAAGCACGAGCGAAGAAGACGAGGAGGAGTCTGCCGAACAAGAGTCAGAGAGCGACGATGAAACCCGAAGCGGACATGATGAAGAGAGTTAAAATTCAAACATACCGTTTGAATCTCCGCACTTGTTATATAAATGCCTTACATGGGGGCTCCATAGAGTATGGGAAGTTATCAATATCTCTAGAATTCCACGTAGCTTGCTCAAGCAGATTAAATCGCTAATTCTCCATCCAGAACAGAGTAGAAATTAGGTTCGTCTCTCAATATTCACTTTTGTAAAATTTATTATACAGTTCATGCGGCATAATGCTACAAATGGATGTCATCCCGTGTCTATGACCAATCATTTCCTGACGCCCCTAAGTACGTAATTTTGTTCGTTCACAGCAACAGCTCAAGAGGGTTCTCTACAACCTTCTTGAATTCCTTGATCCATTCTGCACCGACTGCACCGTCAACTACCTTGTGGTCGAAGCTTCCAGTAACGGTGATCTGGTCGTCCCACTCGATACCGGTACCATCCTCACCGGCGGGGATGGCAACCTTCTTCGTGGTACCGACAGCCAGGATAGTAGCTTGCGGGGGGTTGATGACGGCGGTGAAGTTGTCGACGGCAGGGTTCATTCCCATGTTGGAGATGGAAATAGTGCCGCCCTGGTATTCCTCGGGCTTGAGCTTGTTGTCACGGGCCTTCTTGGCGAGTTCCTTGACCTTGGCAGAGATGGACTCTAGACCGCGGGCCTCGACACCAGTGACGATAGGAGTGATTAAACCGTTGGGAGTAGCGACGGCGACGGAAACGTCAACGTTGTTGTACTTGCGGACAGCGTCACCGATCCAGGCGGAGTTGGCAGCAGGAACCTTCTTGGAAGCGACAGCAATAGCCTTGATAAGGAAATCGTTAACGGACAGCTTGTACTTGCCCTCGGCCGAGCTGTTCAGAGCTTGTCGGAGCTTTAGAAGCTTGGTGACGGAGATCTGGGTGCTGACGAAGAAGTGAGGGTTCTCCCTAAAAGACTCTTGGAGGCGCTTGGCGATGGTCTTTCGCATGTTGGATAGAGGGATATCTTCGTAAGAGACAACAGGGGAGACGGAGGGACCGGCAGCGGAGGTGGCCTTCTTGACATCGTCTTCCGTGATCTTACCACCGGGGCCGGTACCCTTGAGAGAGGAAACAGCGACACCCTTCTCCTTTGCCAATTGCAGGGCCGCAGCGCTGATATTAGGTAGTCGGTCAAGAGCGGGCTCGATCTTTCCTTCGTGAGAGTATTGTTCCGGCTCTTGGGTGGATGTCGGGGCCGGAGCGGAGGCCGCATCAGACGGCGCATCCGATTTCTTCTCCTCTTTGGGTGCCGGTTTTGCGACGTCACTACCTGCATCTGAGAGACTGAAGGACTCGAAGGGAGAAATATCGGCACCCTCCTCGACGAGAACAGCAATTGGCTACAATAACAAGTGTCAGCATTTCGGAGTACGGAATGGGGAAGCGCAAAAAGTCACGCACGTTGCCAACGGGGACGTCTTTCTCGCCGGCATCCTTGAGAATCTTAGCGATAACACCTTCTTCTTGGAACTCGAAGTCCATCTGAGCCTTGTCCGTCTCGATCTCTACCAGAACCTCACCGGGGGCGATGGTGTCACCGGGCTTCTTGTGCCATGCGCCAATGTTACCGGCCGTCATCGTGGGCGACAGCGCAGGCATTTTGACGACTGTGTGAGGCGGGTAGGATGCATAGTATCTGGCCAAGGGCATAAACCCCGATCTGAGGGATGCGGTCCTGAGTAGGCCTTGCCTTCTTAATACGGCGCCGAACATTTTTGGTGATGGAAGAAAATAGCTCTCCCCCCGGATAGAGAAAAAAAAAGGTGTTATATAGAAAAGACGAAGTCCGGTATAATTCTATAAGGCGAATTCAAAGAAGTAAAAAGAATAGGACAGGTCGGGTTATCTCAGAGCAGACAAATCGCCAGCACCTGGTATTGATTGACCGAGTCCAATTGAGTTGAGGTGTGGGATTTTTGGAGGGGGGGGGAGGATAGACGGCGCGAGACGGGGACGTTGAAGAGAAAAAAAGATTAGACCTAAAGTTGAGGTCTGGAAGTTGTTGATTGGCGGCGGGTTATTTTCGTGACGGGGTCCCTTTTCTCAGCAAAGAGGTACGGGAGATAAAGTACCGTCCGTTGTGCGGTGCAGCAAATAGCAGGCACGAGTCAATGATAGCCTTACCCCAAAACTTTTTTTTTTTCTTAGGGATGTTGAGAGAAGCTCTGACCCCCTAAGCCTTTTCCACCAAAACCCCCCTCTATGCTGCTTTTTATTTTTTGGATTACCTATTAGGTACTATGTATGAAGTATCGGTACTTTTTACTAACTAGCTCAGTTTCCTAAGATTCGCCTCTACTATTTCTAGTAAATATATTACCAAACCAAGTTGACAAAGTTAGCTATATAATTATATAGTTGCAGTTCAACTAAACCCATCTTATTAAAATGTTTTCTATTCCCCAGGTATTGATAGCTGTCACAGGTAAGTAGAGATACAACGTCTTCGGAATCCGTAGGAATATTGAAATGGGTCTCCCCAATGGATTCCGCCGTGCGATCTATTTTTAATTGGTCCAAAGGTGTAAGCTACCTTACCTACCTAGGTCGTGAAGTTTAAAAAGTACAACCATCTTACCTCTCTGTCTATACTTGAAAATAAACAACAGACCAAAAATTGAGAACTTATCATCAGAATAAAATAGCCTTCGAAATCGGGACTATCTTTAACAACCGTAACGAGACTGTCTCGGTCGAATCCCGACGCTTCTAAAGCTTTTCAATGATTATGAGAGATATAAAAGTTGGTTAAAAATGGCTGAGTGAGCTCTTGTAAGCAAGCTGAGCTATCAAAAAGCTTATCTATAGGATAGATAAAAGAAGTACTACATAATGTAAGACAAAAGGGTAGCTGGGTAAATGTGGCTGATGGGAAGTCTTCGGATCTAAAGGATTAAGGCTGAATTAGGTCGGATATGTGGCTAGAAACTATACGAATTCAGGTCCAGAGGTACATAGGTACCTGCCTAAGGTACCTAAGGCCGGTGGTTCTCACCCACCCCTTGTCGCGGTTTGGGACCTTGGGCCTTGTCATCAATTAAATCTACAGTGGAGTTACAACCCTTGTTCAGGGAACTTTGCCAGCTTGGCCAGACCAAAAACCTCCAAAAGTAATAAAAGTGTCTACGAAGCTCGTCATTTACTACAACTGCGCCATCTTTTCCTCTTGGCGGTATTAGTTGTCAGTTTGCGCTATATATTCGTAGGGATCGAGGCGACGAGAGATATCACATTTTTTTTAAAAAAAAGAAGCCAGTGTTAAGGTGACAAACCGTCCAAGAAATACCCGAAAATCCATCCCTGGATCACGATCGAAGTCGCGAATTCGAATTCGTACTCGAACTCGAACCTTACCTCCCCGAATTGAACTCCTATCTTCAGCAGTCGACCCTCCTCGGATGGCCACTACTCTCCTTTTCCTTCAGCTCGGCGAATCATGAGCTCCTTAGTCTTTGTGGTGTCCTCTCTCGAGGCCATCGCTGCATCTAAAGAAGCACAGAGGAATAAACAGCTCGCCGAACTTACCGAGAACGCTCTCAAGGCTATCAAGGAAGGAGAAACTCAGCTACCCGACCCTCAAGTTGTCTTCGCGCCTTTACAATTAGCTACTAAAACTGGAAGTAGTCAATTGATTAATACCGCTCTCGACTGCATACAGAAACTTACATCTTCCTCGTATTTCTCCGTAAATGTCTCCCCAGATGGCGCGCAGGAGGATGCCACGGAGCAAGCTCCTATGATAGATCGTGCTATCGATACGATATGCGATTGCTTCCAGGGAGAGACCACACCCGTCGATGTCCAACGACATATCGTTCAGGCGTTGCTGGCCGCCGTGTTAAATGACAAGATCGTCGTGCATGGAGCTGGGTTGCTGAAGGCCGTGCGCCAGGTATACAATGTCTTTTTACTGTCGCGAAGCCCGGAAAATCAGCAGGCCGCGCAAGGAACCCTGACCCAGATGGTCGGCATGGTATTCGAACGGGTCAAAACGAGACTGCATATGAAAGAAGCTCGCATTAATCTAGGAAGATTAAAGAACAGCTCTAGCAATGTCACCGTGGAACAAGGAGATGCCGCCGCCAACGGAAACGATGTTGTTACCGAAGAAGAACAGGAGGCGTCCGATGAAGTGACCGCTCAGAACCTACCGGAGCTCGCACGCTCCAAGTCAGCAAACGAAGGCGGACCTAAGTTAACGTTAAAGGACCTCGAGCACCGAAAGAGTTTTGACGATTCGAATCTAGGCGACGGCCCGACTATGATCACCCAATTAAAGCCGCCCCAAAAGATAGCGAGAAGGGTTTCGGAGCAAACGCAAAGCGATACTGCTACCGAGGCGGAAGAAACCGCCGAGTCCCTTGAAGCCGAGGACGAGGTTTACATCCGGGATGCATACCTCATTTTCCGGTCTTTCTGTAACTTATCAACCAAGGTCTTACCGCCGGACCAGCTTTACGATTACCGAGGCCAGCATATGCGATCCAAACTCATATCACTCCACCTCATCCGCACCCTTTTGAATAACCACATGCTCGTTTTCACTTCGCCCCTTTGTACCATCACCAACACGAAAAATAACGAGGCGACCGGCTTCCTACAAGCCATCAAGTTTTACCTCTGCCTTAGCATCACTCGAAATGGAGCCAGCTCGGTTGATAGGGTGTTTGAGGTTTGCTGTGAAATTTTCTGGCTGATGTTTAAATTCATGCGCGCACCGTTCAAGGTAAGACTTTTTTTTTGGTTTATGGTTCTTGAGTAGTCTAACCGTCGTGATTATAGAAAGAAATAGAGGTGTTTCTCAACGAGATATATCTAGCGCTTTTAGCGAGAAGGACAGCGCCGCCCTCTCAAAAGCTCTATTTCATCAACATACTCACCAGGCTCTGCGGCGACCCTCGAGGGTTGGTAGAAACATATCTCAACTACGATTGCGACTCTCAACTCGACAATATCTTCCAAACCATTATAGAAGATCTTTCGAAGCTCGCGATCAACCCCGTATCTATCACTCCCGTCCAGGAACAACTGTATGAGGAGAAGAACTCAAATCCAAACGCTGGCTCGGATTGGCAACTAAAAGGGGTCTTACCACCACCTCTAAACGTGAGAGATATCGTACCTCCCACCGAACCGGAACCTGAGATACCGCGGGAATATGTCATTAAGAGGGCAGCCTTAGATTCTCTTGTCGAGGCATTGCGATCACTTGTCAATTGGTCTGTCGTCGGCCGTCCAGATGTCAATGGTACGCCGCGCGATAACGACACACGTCCGTCGGCAGATGATATTCGGGAATCCATCGACCCCTCGGCTGCCGATAGCAATTCTCGCCTCGAAACGCCTTTACCTCCTTCTACCCCTGTAGTTGACGACGACCCGGCTCAGCTAGAGAAGGAGAAAGCTCGCAAAACAGCCCTGGCCAATGCGATCCGTCAGTTTAATTTCAAACCGAAGAAGGGAATTAAGCTTTTGATACAGGAAGGGTTTATTCCAAGTGATAGTCCTCAGGATATCGCCAAGTTTCTCATTTCTGATGATCGGCTTGACAAGGCACAGATCGGCGAATATCTTGGTGAAGGTGATGCAAAGAATATCGAGATCATGCATGCTTTTGTCGACACCATGGACTTCACCCAAAGGCGCTTCGTAGACGCCTTGCGCCAATTTCTCCAGTCGTTCCGTCTTCCCGGAGAAGCGCAGAAGATCGATCGATTCATGTTGAAATTTGCCAATCGCTATGTCATGGGCAATCCCAATGCTTTTGCCAACGCGGATACAGCCTACGTTCTGGCTTATTCGGTAATCTTGCTTAACACGGACTTGCACAGTAGCAAAATAGCTAGGCGCATGACCAAGGAAGACTTCATCAAGAACAACAGGGGTATTAATGACAATGCCGATCTCCCAGACGAATATCTAATCGGTATTTACGATGAGATTGCGGGTAATGAGATCGTTCTTAAAAGTGAGCGCGAAGCCGCTGCGGCTGCAGGTAGCTTGCCTGCGCAGTCCTCAGGTTTCGCTGCGGGACTTGGCCAAGCTCTTTCGAATGTTGGTCGCGATCTCCAGCGAGAAGCATATGTACAACAATCCGAGGAAATCTCTCTTCGTTCGGAGCAACTTTTCAAGAATCTATTTAAGAACCAACGAAAGAATGCCGCAAGAGCTGGAGTTAAATTCATCCCGGCGACATCTTTCAGGCATGTTGGGCCTATGTTTGATGTGACCTGGATGTCCTTCTTCTCTGCTTTCTCAAACCAGATGCAGAAGGCGCAAAACTTGGAAGTGAATAAGTTGTGCTTAGAAGGAATGAAGCAAGCCATTAAGATCGCATGCCTTTTTGACCTCGCTACTGCGCGGGAAGCTTTCATGTCGGCTTTGAAGAACGCCACCAACCTGAACAACCCTCAACAGATTCTTGCCAAGAACGTGGAAGCATTGCGAATCATCCTGGAATTGGGACAAACGGAAGGTAATTACTTGAAGGAGTCTTGGAAGGATATCCTTATGTGCATAAGTCAGCTGGACCGGTTGCAGCTTATTACCGGCGGTGTCGACGAGGGTGCCATCCCCGACGTATCCAAAGCGCGTTTCATGCCCCCTGAGAGGACAAGTACGAACGAATCGCGTAAATCAACAGCTTCTACCCGACGACGAAATAGGTCCAACGCTGGATCACGGGGCTTTTCCATGGAAATTGCACTTGAGAGCAGATCGGACGATGTCATTAAGAGTGTAGACAGGATTTTTAGCAGCACTGCAAATCTGAATGGGGAGGCCATCGTACATTTCGCCAAAGCCCTAACCGAGGTGAGCTGGGACGAGATCAAGGTATCGGGCTCCAACGACTCCCCGCGGACGTATAGCTTGCAAAAGATCGTAGAAATCAGCTATTACAACATGACTCGTGTTCGTTTCGAATGGACTAATATCTGGGCTGTTCTTGGCGAGCATTTCAACAAGGTGGGATGCCATAACAATACAGCGATCGTGTATTTTGCGCTCGACTCGTTGCGACAATTGTCGATGCGTTTCATGGAGCTTGAAGAGCTTCCGGGTTTCAAGTTCCAAAAGGATTTCTTAAAGCCTTTCGAGCATGTCATCGCCAATTCGAGCAATTTAACCGTCAAAGACATGGCTTTACGTTGCCTGGTTCAGATGATCCAAGCGCGAGGCGAGAATATCCGGTCGGGTTGGAGGACCATGTTCGGCGTCTTTACTGTCGCAGCGCGGGATCCTAACGAGACTATCGTCAATTTGGCTTACGAAAACGTCACGCTAGTTTATAAGACGCGGTTCGGCGTTGTAATCTCCCAAGGAGCCTTCACAGATCTAATAGTCTGTCTCACCGAATTCTCCAAGAACATCAGGTTCCAGAAGAAGAGTCTGCAGGCAATGGAGACGATCAAATCGATAATACCGAAAATGCTCAAGACTCCGGAATGCCCGCTATCCCAAAAGTCCAGCCAGACACCAACAGCAGACGGAACTTCTCCGGAGTCGCCTAGCGCTCCATCTAAACAGCAGGGCGGTACTTCGATCGAGGAAGGCTTCTGGTTCCCGGTTTTATTCGCATTCCACGATGTCCTAATGACAGGGGAAGACTTAGAAGTAAGGTCAAATGCCTTGAACTACTTTTTCGAGACCTTGCTCCGATACGGTGGTGATTTCCCGTCTGATTTCTGGGACATACTATGGAGACAGCAACTATATCCGATCTTCATGGTGCTACGGTCCAGACCTGAGATGACCAACGCTCTTAACCATGAAGAATTGTCTGTGTGGCTCTCAACCACTATGATCCAAGCACTACGTAATATGATTATCCTCTTTACACACTACTTCGATGCCCTCGAGTACATGTTGGATCGCTTCCTCGAGCTGCTGGCACTTTGTATATGCCAAGAGAACGATACGATTGCTAGGATAGGCAGCAATTGTCTTCAACAGCTAATCCTGCAGAATGTGACAAAATTTACTAGCAGTCATTGGAACCAGATCGTTGGTTCATTCTGCGAGTTGTTCGAGAGGACAACAGCTTACCAACTGTTCTCGGCCACAACAATCAATGCCCCATCCGCACTATCACCGCCTCCCAACGGGCTAGGTTTCGAGGTGCCTCTTACGCCTACAAGTGACTCGCCTACAGACGAAAGGTCGCTGAAGATTAACGGTACGGATAAGGGTAGCATCTCATCTGGGATCGAATCTGCTTCAGGTGTCACCTCTCAAGCTTCCCATGTCGAAGACTCTTCGCATTCGACAATTGGTAGCGCAGCAACCCGCCTTGAAGACTATAAGCCTGCTTCTTCGCTCCAGCAGCAACCTGTAGTGGTAACAGCGGCCCGGCGACGCTTCTTCAACCGTATCATATCTCGCTGTGTTCTACAGCTGCTCATGATCGAGACGGTTAATGAACTCTTCTCTAACGATTCAGTCTATGCTCAGATACCATCTGCGGAATTATTGCGCCTGATGGCGCTCCTGAAAAAATCTTTCCTTTTCGCGAGGCGGTTTAACGAGGATAAGGACTTACGCATGCGCTTATGGCGGGAAGGGTTCATGAAGCAGCCACCAAACCTCCTAAAGCAGGAGAGTGGCTCAGCCGCGACCTATATCCAAATTTTGTTTAGGATGTTCGCCGATACCTCGCCGTCGCGCGCAGAGAGTCGGCCCGAAGTCGAGAAGGCTCTAGTACCTCTCTGCAAAGACGTTATTAGGGGATACCTGGCCCTCGAAGAGGAATCTCAGCAACGAAACATTGTGGCGTGGCGTCCAGTTGTAGTTGACGTGCTAGAAGGGTTCTCGACATGGCCAGAAAAGGAGTTCAGCGAGCACATCCCTTCGTTCTATCCCCTAGCTATTGAGCTATTAGGCAAGGAGCTTAGCTCTGACCTGAGGGTTGCTCTGCTCGCCGTCCTAAGGAAGGTTGGCGAAATAGGTCTTGGAATCAAGGGGATGTCGGGCGGCCGACGAGAGAGTGTTGCCAGCGTCGCCATCAGCGGTGAAGTGCCAACTACTGAGTTGGAAGTCGGTGAGGTTGGGATGGGAGGCATAAAAGCGTGAGATGCGGACTGACTGTACCAAGGCGTTGATTGCTAGTGGTTATTCGGCATATCCCAAAACGCGATGGAAACGAGGCCGTTGCGAGTTATTGATTTGTCATAAAGAGGGCATCGGAACAAAAAAAAATATGGACGCGATTAATAGAAGAAAGACTACGGTCACATGCGGTGTTTGGTTCAGGTGGGATGGTCTATCATAGACAAGCTAAACTCTTGTATGATAGATAACAATTTTGGTTTTTTTTGTTCTTTTATATTGTTGGTGTTCTTGCGTATATGTACCTAACCCAAAGCATAGCGTATGAGCGCGATGTCTCAGCAATCGTGTCTCGGATTGTACAAATTTAAACCCATTTTGCCCGCGCAAGAGAATAGGACAAGTGAGACCTCATGCCAACCGTGTATATCAAGTCCTATTTCCCTAGCTAAGGTACCAAAGTGCCTAACCCAGTAGCGGCCGCACATAGGTTCCAAATCTGGAAATCCATGTAAGCTTAACGGAGATGGTCTGTTCTGGTTCGGCGTCCCGTGGCTTGTTTCTGGTGCATGTAATATTTAGATCGTACATGCACAGATGCCAAGGGTAGATGGGTGTGCAATATCTATAGGAGGTGAATATATAATCTATTCAGGACTGCCAATGGAACCCATAATAGATAGACAGCTGCACGTCACAAGCCAGCCCTCAAACAAGCTTTGTCTGCTCCCACTGCTAGCCAACGGGCGTTCTCTACATAGATGTAGGTTTGATAATCGTTGTAATGTAATTCCTGTCTTGGAAGAGCTCTGCGTCACGATTGGTTGGTTGCCCCTAAACAAGCTGTAAAACTCTATAAGCATGTGTGTGTAATGCTAGGTATATCCCTAGTATGTATTTTTATCTATATGTCAAAGGCCTATTTCCCAAGGCTCTTACACTTATAACATCTGGTGTAGGTACTATGTTAGGTAGGCTTGTCTTACACACTGCTTATCAATTCTGCCCTTCACATCTCGTCATTCGCGTTATCGCTTCGGGAGGAGAAGTTCTGGTGCGACCCTTAGGGCTGTGTACGGGGCCCGAGTTGACAACATGGAAATTCCCGATCAAGTTTTCTATCGGCCGAGAGTGCCACTCCCCCCCCTGCGGGTTGTTTTTCGGCGGTAGCTTACGTACTGCTTCTTCGTTTCTAGTTAATGGATAGATCCTTAGAGAATGATAAAAGGGGTGGCCTGTCGTAGCACAAAGTCTAAGTCTACCTAGGTACACACAGCCTTAGATGATGGCATGGACATGGGCGCATGAATTTGCAAGAGATTGCGATACGGGTGGGCTACGGAGCTAGGTACTTGGTATTCCAGAATGTTGCAATATGCGGTGGGGGACGAATAGGAGAAGAGAAGAATAGCAGAGCCTTTTTCTTCACAGACGAAGCAAGGTCTTATTTTTAACTCTGGTATGTAACCGTAACTAAAGGGGATTATTCTATATTATTGTCGCAACTACCGGTATGCATATATACGTTGAAGAACCGGGACCTGAAGACGCCGAGATGTCGGAGGGAAGTCCGTTCTTCCGGACGTGGTCATTATTGGATGAGAACATATGTACATACCTTACACCCCCCCTGGTTTACTCTCGCTTGTCTGCCTATTTTTATGCGAGCTAGGTATACATGACTTCGATTTTACAGAGCAGAAAATGTGGCAGGCGACAGACGCATCCTTGATGTAGAAGGCAACAAGACGACGACAAAGTCAAGTGATAACTTGGCATATTCGAATGTCATCCTGCTTGTAGAATATAAGATGGGGAAGCATGATAATGCGTCTACCGCCTTAATCTTCCCGAAAAGGTAAGAGAATTTGCATCGTTTTTGTCTACCTATTTTAGGTAGGTAGGTATAGTAAATATCTTATACATATCTCATCAGGTACCTATCTATCTATCTTACCCTGGCTTCTCCGAATGCTCTACGAGATAGATGATTGGGTCATGGCAGCTAATCAGAGTCCCATACAGGGGTTCGAGGCATGTGTATGAATTTCCCCTTTCGGGGTCTTGTTGCGTTCGCCTCTTTATTGGCCAATTCCCGCTTCATGGAGAAGAAACCCGCTAAGTCAGCCTTACCACGGTATTATCCAAAATATATCCCGCTACGTATATCTCCTGCGTGTAAAAAAAACTAAGTGATTACGTGAGAGCACACGGTAGACTCTGCCGCAAGGTGATGGTTATCCCCACCGAAAAGGAGTGGCATCTTTGTGGTTATCTTCAAGCCAAGCCTTGATTTAATATTCCCCTCACGACTCAGCTGCTCGGCAGGGGTAGTTTCTCGTGACTCGCTATTGTTTGGATGTGTTCCGCTTCCCAAGGCTCCCATCTCATGTTTTTTATTACTTAGTACCGAACTGGAAAGTGACGACGTGTCAAGGCTCGATAGCCGCCGCTCTAAGGTGCCCTATTTAGTATTCCGTCAATCATCAAAACCACCTTTACATCATCAACAAAGACGTCTCAGCCCAATTTAGCTCAGCTGAACCTGACTGAAGTTGACTGGGCCGTGGGGGCAAAAAAATATCAAGACCCTCATCCTGACCGCCCTCTGGAGATAAACGGATGCAGAGCCCCAAATATATCGGGCTGTACCTTGCTTTAGCCCTTGACGACGTTCCTCGTTTCGTGGCTATCGAGAGATTAAAAGGTCCTATATTAATTTCTACCAAACCAAGAGCCTGGCAGTACAACCTAAGGCTATTGCGTAGCATATAATCAAATGCGACTCTCCCCTTTTTTGAGGATCTAGACATCCGTGTGCGCTTAATAGACCACACCTCTCCGAGTCAGAATGCTAGCGTGGGATATCTCCTTCAACACGACGTTCCTTTACCGCACCAAGCACCAACACGAGCACCAAACCCAAGAGGCTGTCTAAGACGTGCCGTCGCATAACCAACGCACCGGTATCCTCACAAACGAATCAGGTCAGTTGCTTTGATCATGGTCGGAATACCAAAGAGTAATCGTTGCACATTCTGCAAACTACGAAAGACGAAGGTAAGCCATCTGGATTGGTTGCGCTTCCTTATCTCCAACAGCCAGAACTAATGTTTTCGAATAGTGTGATGAGAACTGGCCGACATGTGGTGCATGCACCCGAGCCGGAAAGGTTTGCTCTGGGGCACGGAATAGCTACAAGTTCGTGGTTAATGGTTGCCATAACGAATCAGCGAACTTGGACAGCACCAGCACAGCGTCCAATGAAGGTGTCCAAGGTCGGCAGCCACGAGGAGGTAGTCCAAGTGGCAAAATGATCGTCGACATGAAGAAGTATACGACAGCTAAAGGTCCCGGCACGTTCCACCGGATGCGACTTACACACCCAAATCGCCCTCGGGCCGCTAAATTCAGTCGTCCTGCACTGTCGCCAACGCTATCGCCAACGCCGCCACCAGCTATGTGTGCTTCTGACCGGCTGGCGGCCGAACTAGTGTATTGTCTAGAGTCCGCGTCAGGGACAGGTCGCGATATGCTGATATGGGGTTCCTCGATATGGATGATACCACGGAGGTTAGGATCTGAAAGTCCAGTATTACGAGACACGGTCAAGTTGGTAGTTGCATCTTGGGCAAATAGCCAGCGAGTCGCTCTGTCACCAGAGGCGTGGTTAGATTTGAGGCTACATACGCAAGCTTTAAGGAGTCTGCGGAAAGCTCTTCAGGAGCCCGGGAAAGATCTGGTGACAGACACGATAGCAGCGCAATGGCTATTACAAAAACTCGAGGTGAGTTACTCGTACTCTTATAGGGACACTGCTTTGGATTTCCGTTGGCAGCTCGATCTAACACTTGTTGTGGCAACTAGTTTACTTATGATTTCGAGCGGGGCGCAAACCAAGAGCGCCACGCTGCTGGGCTGACGGCCGTCATCAGTAGAGGGGGCCCCTGGCAAAGCTTCGATGATCTAGGAATCCATGCTACGTTCGACAGCTTTTTCAACATCGTAAGTTAGCCTGCTTGAATCATGTCAGATTACAAAAGCTGATAGCGTATCGTTAGCTACAAGAAGACGTACGTTTGGGGAGAGACAGTGTATTCATGCATCCCGAGTGGGCACTTGCTTTTAAGCAGGCAGTAGATACCTACACGACAAGGCCCGTTCTTAAGGCTATGTACTATCTATGGGTCGAGATGACGGCTTGGCCGACTTTAGTGAAACTCGTTCGAGCGCTATGTCAAGACCCTTCGGATACTATGGCCGCAACCGAGCTTGTGTTAAGAGCCACGCCGCTCATAGAATACTTGGAGCACGAAGGCGAGACGACATTAAACTCGCTGATGGAATCGAGGGATGTGGTCGAGGCAGAGAATCCTTTAAATCCGGATTTATTTCCAACTTGCTACCGATTTCGCGATATCGACACCGCAAAACTATTTTATACTCACGCCATGTACACCATCATTGTTTATCGAACTTTGCAGGAGGCGAACCTTGTGTTAGAAAATCATAACCCGAGAATAATGAAGCGGTGTAGAGAATACAGTAAACGAATTTGGATGACTTACGCTTGGATGAGCGCGCAAATACCACTCGCTGTCGAATATACAGCCGCTTTGGCATTTTCTTATGAATCGGCAAATGAAGAGGAACGAGAGTTTTGTATGAGATGTCTGAGAGATCTGGAATATTATAGAAGGCCACCGCCGGTGGGCCGGTGGGTAGATGCAACTATTATGGCTAACGTAAAGGGATATACAGGCCGTCTGCCGTTTATAAAGACTCGGGACATAACCATTGAAATGAGCGGGCTGGGTTGCCGGAGCTAACGAAGAACATGACGAATGAGACTGACAAGGGGGTTAGGCTGATGGGAAAGGTGTACATGAATTGTTGGTAATGGGCTATCATCTCGTTATTCATGGATCATCCCCCCTTTCTTCACGAGGTAAATACGATTAGCGAGGGTTATAAGTAACAAGCCATATCCACTGTTTCAATTGTCATGTCCTAACCGTCAAGTATATGGGGTATTATTAGTTTAAATACTATGAAACTCGTCAGACTAAGTTGTATACATTAGAACAATTAAAGCACGGGGGCTCACATGACAGGTTTGTTCTCATATATTTCTTTTCTTTTCCTTTCTTTTCTTTTTTCTTCTTTTTCTCAAGCCATAACACCAGTCGTCTCATGAGCCCTAGCTGAATACCAGAGATAATAGAGTACCGAAGAGGTGAGTGAGTGCTTTGGCCTCTATTCAGAATTCAAGATTTCTTGGATGAATTGACGAAGTTCATCAGCTTCTTCGGGCACTGTTCGCTCAGGCAAGGTCAGGATTGCGGCCTTCAGGACATTATCCTGTGCGGTAGCATCCCTCACAATATTTTTAAGAGTATCAATCTTGTGGGTAGAAAAAGGTGTAATCCGTTGAATACTGAGGAGGGCTTCGAAAAAGTCGATGAGGTTGAGATGCATTAGCATGTCCTCTTTATCAACCATGAAGAGAGCGGCAAAATGCAAGATCCCGCGGTTGTTAGTGGAATCGGTGTACTTCTGGTTCAAGTCGGCGAAGTCGGACCAAGTAACAGCACGGAAGTTCAAAGCAGCCAGACGAGGTAAGACCCGGAGTAAACGACCTTGGGCAAGCGACTGCTGTTGGGTACCGAGAGGATGGTTCGTGCAAAGTGACAGTATGAGGTCATAAATGTCGCGATCATTGAAAATTCTCCTCCATAAAAGCCCCTGACCAGGAGGCTTTCTGACCACGATTTCCATTCCGTTAACTGATAAGCCATCAGGTGGTCGAGTGTCGCAGTCAATATCTAAAAGATCCCCCAAAATTTTGGATCCTTTCTCACCGACTTCCACCTGCGGCGCACTCAGCCATTGTATGATAAAGCTTTTAATCATGCTATTCATCATGGCAAGGATGGCAGCATCGCCAGGAGACTTGGCTGCTTTCTCAAGTACAGTCATGGCGAGAATGTTTGCTGAGGGAGCAGGGGACTGTAGAGCTAGTATGAGAGCTTCTTCGGAAGCCAAAGATAATATTTGGGTGAAGTTCAGGGGGGCGAGAAGCTTGATGGCTAAGCTACATAAAATCTTGGGATCCTGGGGGTATTTCTTGAGAATCTCTGTGAGCTTTGGGAGAAGCTTCGGGATGAGAGGTGGTATATTGGCGTCTATCGAATGTGTATTAGTTAATAACAATACTAGGTACCTATGTATCAAAACGAGAGGTAGCCTTACCAGTAAGCTGAAGCTCTACATGGTCGAAAAGCTTAGCATTCAGGTCTAGATTCGGATCTGCAACGAGTTCGTCTAGATGCTTCTCTAGTTCTTCAACGCCGGTGACTGGGATCGTATCTGTATCCATTTTAACGTTGATCCGACTCATCTCAGTCGTGAGATACGATGGAGTTTTGCCGTTAAACAGGTAAGGAAAAGAGGCAGTCAAACGAAGCGTAGTATTAATAAAGTTAATAAAGTTGAAGTTGATTAAGTTGATTAAGTTGATTTTCAGGGATGAAGATGGATCCCCCCTAAAAGGTCGGATCTAAAGGAAAGCTATAGTGGGGGCGGGGTCATAGTGGCTGGGGCTATTGGCGCGGGGATGAAGATCCGTAATCCATAATTACTGCACATACAATACATAAATACATGTACCTAAGGTACCCACTGCCGATGCCCCACCAGGTCCCCGCCGAAATTTTGAGAGCAGCTTGATTCTAAAATCGTCTTTTTCTTTTTTTTTATAAGTCGCCGCCAACACCACATTATTTTCCGCAATAATCCCTTCGAAAGGGACCGCAACCAACCACACAAACAGATATGTCTGGTCGCGGCGGTAGAGGAGGCCGAGGCGGCCGTGGCGGTCGTGGTGGCTTCGGCTCAGGTCGAAAGGCCGCGCCGCAAGGCATGCCTGGCGCCGACGAGCCTGGACTCATGTTTAACGAGAAACCCCAAGATACCTATCCCGTAAGCGAACACACGCCTTGCTTACCTGTCGATATTCGACCGCCATACGCAGAGTATTAATATCGTGATCCCCACATTGCAGAAATCCTACCATCCCCCCTTAGCCCCTCCCCTCGACGACTCCGAAGCCCGCGCCGTCGCCTCCTTCGTCGCGTTCCGGCGCGCCTTCCACAGCACCCCCTTCTACACCCACCGCCATCTCGCCAGTACCACCGGCGGCGACGCGGCGACCTCGAAGCCCAGCGACCCCGTGCGCCGCGCCTACGGCCAGCCGCAGATCAACGCGCGCTTCGCCGTCAAGAACCGCGCCACCCTCGACCCCTTCCAGGCCGTCCCCATGTACAGCCACAAGTTCGCCGACGAGACCCGCACCCTGCCCGACCTCAAGGCCCGCGAGAACGAGTACGTCCGCGCCCTGTTCCCCGAGGAGCTGTGGGCCACGCTCGAGGGGAAGGACGCCGGCGGGCCCAAGGGCGGGTACCTCGGGAGCCGGGCGAAGAAGGCCGGGGGCGTCAAGCGCAAGGCGGTAGTAGTAGACGGCGACCCGTTCGCTAGCGACGACGAGATCGGCGGTCTGCACAGGAAGGGACGCGACGACGAGACCGAGGAGGAGCGCAAGGCGCGCATCGAGGCCGCGATCAAGGATGGCGACAACGAAGATGCTGCGAACGAGGATGTAGATCTGGACGAAGAGGAAGAAGAAATGTCGCAGGAAGACGATGATTACGGCGACGATGAGGGCGGAGATTACGATGCGGAGGCCTACTTCGACGGCGGAGATAACGACGACTACGGCGAGGATGAAGGTGTTGGGGAGAGCGCTATGGATTTCTAGTTCCTTGTTTCCGAGATCGATATCTAATTGCATTGGGGTCGGCGTTCACCAGGGAACGGCCTTGTACTCGATATATCACAAGGCCTATGATACCATGGCATTTTTGGGCATTTTCAGCACTGATATTTGTTAAATGAATAGAACTATTGCTTTGGTAGATCTACCCTTGTCAAAATACTAAACTGGTTCATATTAATTTCATACGTGCAACTCATCTGGCATTTTTATTGCCCAACCCCTATTGGCAGCTTCTCACACCAAGCTTTCGTCGCATAGATCGAGATGGGGAGAATGGACGTACCTTCACCGAATCACGGCGCACATACCATAATCCGCCTTGTTTTACCTATTCTATTTTCCAGGAGAACTGCTGATTTAACTATCTAGAAAGGGTTATGCTTTTCTCTTCTCTCGTAATGCTCGCAGACCGATAAATATCAATTAAGAAAAAAACAACGCGCGATGAGACCAATAAAGAAAAGTAATGGAAAAAAAACATCGAGAGCATGTCTTGCAAGCTTCCCTGCGCTATTTGAGAGTGCGCTTTTTTTTCGCCTGTCGCCTCATACCCGTAATTTCTATGTATTGTTACCATTCTTCCTCCTATAGGTGCCAGGAAAAGCTTTGTGTCGGTTCATTCATGGAACTGACAAAACGTCTGTCCTACCCGATCAGGAGTTGAGTTAAATGAACGTTATATTCCACCTGTCAGTTGGGCAATAGCAATTGCCAAACCATGTATCAGTATACAACAGAAAGAAAACAGCTAAGATGCAGACCAAATGGACTTGAGGAGAGAAACTGTCCCAAAGCCGCGCCGCATCCTTTCTCTCTTCGCTTGAGTTTCTTGATTGACGGTGCCCTCTCCGGGCTGACCCCTCTGTCGCCCTTGGTCACCCCTCAATCGGAAACAGATGTGATCTTCGCTACCTGATACGTTGGTTGCCCTTTAAAAATAGCTACGCATGGCATCTTGATATCCGGTGCCACCTTTCAGGTCTTGCTCGAAGTTTTGCTGGACATTGAGGACCTCGCGAATATGGCGCATACTAAGCGGCTCTCCCTTATTGACAGCAAGGGCTTGGGCGGTGCCGATCGTGTTTTTGATCTGCCGACCGTTCAGGTTATGCCGTGCCAAACTTGCGTAATCATCTTCATCGAACGGCATCAGGTCGATGCCTGCGACAACTCGAGCGCGTTCAATGAAAATTTTGAATATAGCCTTCTTTGCTTTCGTGTCCAAATCGTCATATCGCAGCGCAATGTGGATTCGGGACTGGAAGGCATCATCAAAAGTCTACAAATGGGTGAGTTTGAATTAGTATCCTCCTATCCGATGGAGTTAGGAGTGGAGTCAACGAATACATACCTGAACGCGATTTGTCGTGAGAAACAATATCCCCTGGAAGTATTCTAATTGCCTCAGGAAAATGCTAACTAGAGCGTTCCGATGTATATCGTGCATATTACGTTTCTCCAGGAATACATCAGCCTCATCGAGGAGGAGAATGGCACCCCAGGCGTGACAGATGTCAAGGATCTTCTGTAGTTCCGCCTCGAGACAACGCGAGTCGGTTCCGAGGTCACCGGCTGACACCATATACAGGGGGCATTTGAGGAGCTCGCTTATGCCCTCCGCTGTTAATGTCTTGCCCGTGCCAGGGGGTCCATGTAGGACAGCTACCAGCCCCTTTCCTTTACCCTGGATAACATCGTCAATGCTAGCGGCCGGGTGGTATTTATGAGACTCCACGAGAGCCTGAAGATTCCAAGTTAGTCAAAAATTCAACAACACCCGAGGCCAACATGGGCATCTGGTGGTGGATATGCAACAATAAGTGAGGAGAGAAAAGAAAAACAGCCTCGTCACTTACTCTGACAATCTCCTTGCTATTTGATTGTAGCACCAATGAGTCGTAAGCGTGTTCGTTCCATGAAATCTCCTTGATGCCAGATACTGTAAATTCTAGCCAAAGCTTCTCAGCGAAGGCAAACCCTAAGACGACGGGTGAAGCAATTAGGTATTCCTCATCAGTAAATACCGGCGGTGAGCTACCACACTTGTCTTCTTCATTACCTGTGGCTCCCTCCTTGGAAGGAACTCGGTCGAGCTTCTCTTTAGGTTCGTCTGTGTCAACGAAGTCTTTAGGTACGCGCACAGTCTGCACATTCCCCTTATTGTCCTTATATACCTTAGTCACGAATTTGACCTTTCCACCATTGTCTCCTTGAACACCTTCAATGTCGGCATCGCCGGTACCGCCTATATCATCTTCTGAGTCGCAGCCATCCTCACACTCATCATCGCTACCCTCATCATCACTAAGAACGTCGTGATCTTTAGGCCGGACAAGGGAAACAGGATAGTTGGGGTTTATGCGACGATGAATAGCCGGATCAATCATAACCCGGCCATTTATATTGACCTTGATCACTGACTTTTTCTTTTTGTGATACGCCATGCCTTGGTGGCTCTTATAGTTCACGCCCGCAAGATTGACGAATTTCTTGCCGCGTTCAATAAGATCTTTGCGCAACTGAGCTTCGTTCTTGTGGTATTTGAGGGGATAGCAGCCCAAGCTGGTGATCTTACGCGCACCGCGAAACTCTGGTATCTCTTGTGCCATGCTGCCGTATCCGAATTGCTTACCGTCGTATTCGAAGTACTGTGCTCTGGATGTTAGTAATTAAGTCTAACAATCCAGACGTAATGCATCACCACAGGAAATTTACCTTGCCCTCTATGTAGTAAAATTCACCCCTCATTATACTATAATGTTTTTCCGCAACTTCAACTTTGAAGACGCGGGGCTCGTCGACGGAACCATATGTTGTGGTGTACGCAAGCGTGTTTGGCTTCCAGAGAGCCCACAGAAGATCGAATGTAATGAGGCCGTTCTCTAGCATAGGATAAAGACTAACAACCACATCAGTAAAGACTGCCCTCGACTGCAGGGATGGCACTTTCATGGCTTACCTCTTTTTAGTCTCCGCATGGTCTACATCTAGGTACCTGATCAGGACTCGGAGGTGACGCCGCTTCTCATCAATCCATTTCTGAGCCTTCCTACGTGCTTTCCGCGAGTCCCCTTCTGGTTCAATCTCTTTCAGACTATTCATATATTCTCGCATATCTTCAAGATATCTGTAGCCGGGGTTAGTGATCGAGAAATAATGTAAATAAAACACGAGCAACTCACAAGAATAGCATCTTGGGGTCCAGTTTGGGAGTCTCCTCAACCAAGCTGACTCCCTTGACATTTCCTATAACGTCTCGAAGACCCTCTCGTAATTGTTTACTTTTAATGTCAACTATAGTTGTCTTATACTTGCCCTCCCAATCAAATGTTCTCCTCACGTGAAAGAGATATTCGTCATATTGCGAGTTGCTAGCACCCACGGCCGTATCCTGGAGCTTATAATTATGGATCTGCGAGTCCCAGACTTGATCGACACGCTTAAACTCGAGGCGTTGGACAACCGGCTTGCCATCGCGGGCACTCTTAGATTTAGATGCCTTGTTGGTGCTGCTTCTACCATCGTCCAACAAAAAGTCTCCGGGGCGAAGTCGCTTTCCTTGACCTGTGGCCGGTCGGTTGTTACCACCGCCTTTATTCGTATATTGCACAGTTTTAGCCAGGCTTTCCAATTGCTCACTTCGCATATGATCATTGATAGCCATCGTAGGAACACCAGCAGAAAGTGGGTACTTAGCCGAATTCAGTACTCCAAAGTAGGGCCCCCCCTGAGGACTTAATCCATAAGCGCCCTGGTTGAAAGAGGTGGCGGGAGCACCGTCGGGTAAGCCAAAAGATGCGAGCTGTCGCTGGAGCAGTTGGACCTGCAATCGCATCTGGGCAAGCTCTTGTTCTATGGAGACCTTGCGAATGTCCCCCTTTTCGTCGATATTAGAATCGTCTTCAGTCTCGGCATCCGTACCACTCGTATTGCCTTCTGGGGTCTTGGTTTGCGGCTTTGCTTGTTTGGTGGCCACCTTGGATGATTTGGATGGTTTCTTGGTCCGCCGTGTGTCTTGACGCTTCTTCTTCTTCGAGTGCTCCTCGCCGTCGGATGCGGATTCCGACTCTGTAGACTCATCTGATGATGAGTTGGTAAATTCGTCCTCACTGCTTCCAGAAGAGCTCTCACTGACTGGAGATCCCTTCTTGGACTTACCATTCTTTACTTTCTTGTCTTTTTTATTTGACTTAGTAATAGCCTTCTTTTCGTTTTTCAATCCTTTACCCTTATCACCAGCGTCCGTGGGTGCAGTTGAAGGGGCATCCTCCATCCGGGGAGCCTTGGTATCATCATTGTTAGGGAAACTACCTTCGTGCCGGTCTGCTGAATGGCTGGTTTTGGTTTCCTGGGACTCTATTCCCAAGTCCATATTGGAGGCTATCTCGGGTAGACAGCTTTAACGTCGAAGGCCTAGGATTCAATGAGGAGCAAGAAGGAAAGGCGATTAGGAACGGCAGGAGAGTGAAAAGTATTTTTTAAAAGAGCAGCTTCAAGACCCAATATGGAAAATCGACCTGAAGCCGCAAGGCGGGGAAGGAAGATTCCTGCTTTTGTTTGCTGTGCGCACAATTAAAATCTCTAACCGTCGTGGGTGATCATGACTGGCTGGTCTGTAACCGAAACACACTGTGTCAGCTAGGGAAAAAAAACGTAAAATAAGACAGAATAGAAATTAAAGGGTATGAAATAAGTCGTGTAATTGACAGTGCCAAATGTTCGAATCTCTTTGGGTCGCCTTTTCTCCCAGTGTCGAGTCCAACAGTAGTCGCCACGCTGTACACGGCGGCACAAATAACTGTTAACTCTGTGTGTGTTTTTTTCCTGTCCAATAATACAGATAATAATAAGATCATACGCACCTATTGCGTAGTGGAAGCTTCCAGTGATTTTAATAAGCCATTTAGGATAAGATGAAGAATGGACAAGCAGATGATGATATTGCAAGGCGCCCAATATAAAGACAGCCTCGCAAGTAAGGGTAATTTGTTATCAAGCGAATTGTCTAGGGCTCATATTTCATCTCTTTACCATACCTTGAGAATGCGCGATAATGCGACGAACCAATACTAAAGGTTAAATAAAGAGACGATGAGACGAAGAACTGTTACGGCAGAGGTATGCATGAGAATATATGTATAAAAAAAGTAGGAAGGGTGTAAGATTATCGAGAGTGCTAGGCAGAACAAGCTGAGGGGAATGCAAGGATGAGCTTCGCGGATGACGATGCCTACATAAGATGCATAGGCCTAATACGTGCATTTGCAGGTGCACATAAAGACGGCCTGCAGTGACAAATCAGAATCAAGGACGAGCAAATAATACTTACCTCCTAGGTAAGGTAGGTATCTAGGAAGCAACAGCAACCTATTATTCAATAGTAAGAAAGGGCGTCTCCCGGTGCTTATTTCCTAGGTTAGGTAGGTACGGCTCTGGCTACGGCTTTTGCTATGGCTGCTGTTTAGCGTAGCATCAATATATCAGGTAGGTACAACACGATACACAATTCAAAAAAGTACATTATGTGCCATTATGTGCCTAGATAGGCAGCGGCGCTGGCGCATACCGTGGCATAAGACATGCAGGAGCTAAGCACATATTTCTGTTGGATACACGACCGTAGCGTTGCTGCAGCCTGCTCCAATCTGCAATTATCTAGAGCGAAGTAGTATCCTATAAGAAAATTGAAGTAGCGCTGACACAGTCTGCGGCCGGCTACCGTTGACATGGATTCGTAGCTTGGTACGACATATATAGGAGGTATAGGAGGTAGGTGGGTTAAAGTGAATATTATACATACCTGTGTATAATATTCACTTTAACGGGCTCATATACACTACCTAGGTAGTGAATAAGTATTGAAGCTGTCAGCTGTACGACCTAGTTAGAACTTTGTGAATTAAAACAAGTTTGCAATATTACCTGGTACAAAAAAGAAATACCGAAATGATATATTTTTATGCTTACAAGTTTTAGGGATATGAGATTAACATTACCAGACACAGCCCATATCAGCAAGTAATAATATAATATTGGTATTTAAGATAAGTCAGTTATATGTTAGCAAAACATCATTATATAGGTATGCCTCCACTTAAATTAAAGACCCTCCACTTACATAAAGCACCTAAAGGAATAAATCTAAGCCTACAATTCACCCCACCACGCACTCCCATGCTCGTATTGTCAACATACGCAAGGTCCTTCTAGGATGATTGCTTAAATAATATGATTCAAATAATTCCAGACTGGTTATACCCTAGAAAACTACCACATGTACATGATGCAGATAAAAAAAAAAAAGGCTTGGCTTAAGGTAACCCACCCCCAAGGCGTATAGGGCTATGTAACAAGGGCTACATAAGGGCGCTTACACTTGAGCATATATTAGGCATACATAGATATATCCACACAAGAGAGCCAAGGAACATTCAATGCTACCATAGCAGTTGTATGCAGTAGTACAAGTGGACTAATTCAATGGACTTGTTGCCGAAGAAGTCAAATAGATGGTGGCCGTGTCCGCGTGGTTGCCTTACGCGCCTGTAGATCGCTCCGGTAAGTCTGTTCGCCCTGCTTTGCCGGTTACTAATAGTTTAAGAGGCTCATTCTATAATACGACCTACCGGCTCTGCCCCTGGAACGGGTATTGTGTAATACATGCAATGGTTGTTAGCCAAGTTACCTAGCGTACATAGGAACAGCTACTGTCCGCATGACCGAGCCTCTAGAGAACCAATGGAATGACTGGGGATCAAACAAATACATTCGCAGGACCCTCTATCGGAGTGCAATGTCGTGGTGTTTATAATACGGCATAGGAATAAACGGTGAGTTGAAAGCGTGGGTGCGCGCTAGGCACACTAGGCACACCAGGCACGCATATGATATGATCGACCCGGTAGCTGTTAGTACGAAAGCACAATAGTTACCTACTTAGTATTAATTTGCTGCGCCGCCGGCCCAGTAACCTATTGTATGTAGGTAGTCTTGGTGCTTGACTATATCGGTAAATACCTCAAGGGCATCCAGCGCTGGGCCGCGCATTGAAAACCAAGGATGGGAAGACGAGGTGCTGAGGCTGAAACCGTACCTTAGATGAAATTGGAACTGATCGGTCGCGGACTAGGTATGTACGGCTCGGGGCAGACTCTTAGTACCCGGAGTGGCCGGGAATTAAACGCCGCATGTGAACATTAGCTCACCGTTTGAAGCGTCTTAACAAGGCAGCCGTTACATCAAGTTCAAGTAGCCTTTCCCAGTGAGATACTACCTACTCAAAGTTCACCGAGCCGGCTGTACAATAGGTACGTTGGATTATCTGCAGCGTTGCAGCGCTACACTGACACTGCCATCCAATCAACTGTGAATCTCACAAGGCCTCACTCCCCCTCAAAAACATTTCAACCAAGTCAGCGGAACCATACCTTGTATTCGTCAGTCTACTAGCGCTTAACGAAATTGCCCAGACCCGTGGTTTTGGAAGGCGGAACGTGCTTGCAACATGTTTGTGGTCGTCTAGACTGTCGAAGCTGCACCTCCAGAGTCATCGTCCCCGCACCTGGACTTTTACGTGAAGGGAGACTCGGCGCCATGGGAGTATCAGACGGCTGGAACTTGATATTTAGAGCAGCCACGTTACGACTTGTCGTCTAGGAGTCAAGTGCCTCCTCCTCACCTTAGCTTTTACACCTGTTCTGTAGGTTAAACGACATGTTTGTACTAGCATGTTTTGCCGTAAAAGTCCGCTGCTACGGGGACGCAATATTAGAAGCGGGCTCTTGTTCTATGCGTTATATCTCTTCATCTTTTTTTCATTTTTTTTTTTTTTCATGAAGAGGTAGAAGGGTGTAAAGCTCCATGTCTGCCAAGTACCTACTCCAGTATAATAGGTACTTGGGTACAATGCCGTGGTACCTATGCAGCACCCGCGCAACATAACGTCATGACGATTTGCCAAACACTTTGATTTCACCAACCAAAAAGCATCGGATACAATCATGGATCATGGAACCGTAGGCACGGGTCAAGACGAGACAAAAAAAAAAAAAAAAAAAAAAAAAAACAAGGAATTCTGCTTTTGGTATTGCTTTTGAAACCTGTTTTTGAAGGACTTCAATTGGCTAGGAAACATGTATTAACTTCACCTCGTTAATTAACTTGTTTCGTTTTTTTTTCTGTAGTTATCTCCTTTTACTTCTTTGTTCGCGCGCAACTCCTCCGATTAAGTATCTCAATACGAGAGCGAAATTTCCTAGATATTAGAGACTTCGCAATTGCGCATTGCAATAAGTATGGGAAGGTTCAATTGGAGGAAGCTCCTAGGCTGGGATCGTCATCCATCCCACAATCATCACGACTGGTCATTTCATGAAAGTGGTCGCCGACGTAAGTCTGGAATTCACCTAATCCGGCTGTATACATCCTAATCTCTTCTTGGTTCCTCCCCCATACCTGATCAAAAAATGAGCTTTTGGGCTAATACACGTCGGGCTATCCGATATCAAGTTCTTCCAGTTCATCGAGAAGACTCGGCGGTCGAATCTGCCATCCCTGCTCCAGAAGTAACCAAGGTTGCTCTCCGCCTACGATATCTTATCGAACAATGCGTGCCGTGCGAACTTGAGGAGTTGCAAATTACCCAACCCCACAGCAAGGTCATTACGCCCAAAGTCATTAAAGCTGCCAAAGAGGCGGGCGGGCCTGAGAATCGTTCTTGTGTCGTGTTCTGTCTCCTTGTAGTCAAACGATGGTTTAAGCATCAAGCTGAAGTTGAGCTATGGGATGCGGAACTGCATCAAGTCCGGGCGATTGCTTGCGAGATTATAGCGAAGCAGATCATCGAGTCGGAAGAGGATATGGCTTACTTGCTGCAGTCGGTTCTGCTCAAGCGTTACTCTATCGTCGTCGACGGCGAGGCCACCCCACCTGTCAATGTTATCGAGAAAGCTGTCGACCTCCACGCCCTGCGGGTGATCGGCTCTTCCGGCTACCAAAAATGTATCAATTATCTCTGGAGAGGTTGGCTCGTCCAGGATGAAAATGATCCCGCCAGTTTCGTTGACTACAAGGAACGCGATAATATCACATTCCTGCCCCATCTGGATCCCGACCGTATGCGAGCACCAATGTACCAGAATGCCTTCCAGATAGTTATTTCCCTTATTTACTTGGCTCTCTACACTGGTGCTATCAACACCATTAACCCTGGTGGTGACCTGGACTTTGTTGAAGTTACACTCTACGCTTTCACATTCGGCTTCATATTCGATGAACTTGCCAAGTTCTACAAAGCCGGATACCACATTTTTAGTTTCTGGAATGCGTTTAACAATGTCCTATACTCGCTATTACTGGTATCGCTTGCTATGCGCATTGTCGCCTTTACCCACTCGCCGGATGATGATTCTCGTCAGAAATTCAACCAGCTATCGTACAACTTCCTTGCGTTTACGGCGCCGATGTTCTGGATTCGTCTTCTGCTCTATCTGGATTCATTCCGCTTCTTCGGTGCCATGCTTGTTGTACTCAAAGTCATGATGAAAGAGAGCATCATTTTCTTCGCTTTGCTGATCGTCGTCGTTATTGGGTTCTTACAAGCCTTCATAGGAATGGACTACGCAGACGACATGGCGGGCGAGGATACAATTTTCATCCTTCAGGCTATGGCTAATGCTATTATGCAGAGCCCCGATTTCAGCGGCTTTGAGCGTTTTAGCCCGCCGTTTGGAATCATTCTCTACTATCTCTTTACATTCGTCGTCATGGTCATCCTCCTGAACATACTTATTGCACTTTACAACAGTGCTTACGAGGATATCTACGACAACGCTGATGACGAGTTTTTGGCTCTCTTCTCCCAGAAGACGATGCAATTCGTGCGTGCACCAGACGAGAACGTCTTCATCGCCCCATTCAACTTGATTGAAATATTCCTCTTGATCATACCTTTTGAGTGGTGGATGCCCAAGAAGCAATATGAAAGGCTCAATGACATTGTCATGGGAATAATATACTCACCACTGCTCTTCTGTTCAGCACTGTTCGAAGTCAAGACAGCCAAGGAGATCCGGCGAAACAGGAGAAGAGGGGAAGATGATGATGATACGGAAGAAGAATGGGAGCAGATGGCAAATGAAATTGACTTCGAAAGCGAGGGCTGGGCAAAGAAGATTGCAGATAGCAAAGCTAACATCGAAGATGATCCCACGATGCTCGAGGTCAAGAAGCTGAGAGCAGACGTGGAGCAGCTCAAAGCGTTATTGGAAAATGTTAGCAAGCATCTTAGCGACAAAGTTGGAAGCGACGCTTTAATTTAGTATCCGAGACTCTGAATAGCCAGGGGGTTTGGCTATGTTTTGAACGGGATGAGTTGCATCATCAGTTGAGATTCTATATCGATATACCAGTGCGGTACTTTGGTTGCATTCAAGTTTTCGAATGGCGAGCCCAAGGGATGCCTATCAATGTGTTTTTTCGTTATGAGATAATGAGGCAAAATGGTTAAACATGTTAATTCAAATCCAGAATTCCATATCTCTACCGAGCTTGCTTCCTTCCTTTAACTTTCAATGCTTAGTATTTGCGCCTGCCAAAGAAAGATACTTGGAATTACCTAGAGCCGCAGCCCAGTCTCTGCCTGAGGTACTTAAGGTGCGAGAAGGCAGAGTTGCAGAGTAAAATTTCGTCTTCGTATAATGAAGGTTGCGAATGCAAGTGGCGGCGCAAGCTTCAGCGCGTTGAAGATAAGTCGCGGCGTTCTGATACTCTCGGGTGTAACCGGGTCGATCGGCGTGCCCCTTTCATAAGCCTTGCGGTAAAGCCCAAGGAATAGGAGGGGGGAAGAGACGGGAGGATGATAGTTGGCATAGTTATAATAACGATGCTTGTTTCCCAGATTGCCAGTATTAAAACTGGCTAATATAATAATACATACACGGATATATCTCTTTCGACAACATGGGACATTACTTACGGCCAGCCGCTCCCATAACGCCGTCCGTCTCCCACCGGTTTGTCCTCGAGGTACAGGGTTCCGTCAAATCAGTCGCCAACGATATCCTACCTACGTAATATAACCGTGTAGCCAACACAGAATAGAAAATGTTCCATGTTGTTATTAAATCATTTCAGATCCTGTTCGCCCAGTCACTCCTCGCCACCCAGCTCCTCAGTCTCTTGCCATAGATGTAACTGGGAATAGTTAGGAGGCTGATTCCCAAGTTTAGCATCGCGATTCCGATGAATAGGTCCCTCGGCCCAAATTTGGCGAGCATTCCGTTCCCGACGGTTGTAGCGGCGAAGCTCATTACGGCCTTGACGAAGTTGATGGTAACGAATGCTTGATTCGCGTCCTTGGTGTGGCAGTCGATAACGTAGCTGATCGATGCCTGGGAAGCAAAAGGTACAGCTACCGAATGCATCGTGATCCAAACTAAGCACCATGCCAAAGGTAATCCTTTGGCAGATGAGATCCCGAATCCGATAAATCCCGCTGTGCTGAAAGGGATAGCGATGAGCATGAGGACTAGGCGGAACTCGGGTTCGAACATTCCCCCATTCCGCTTCGCCATCCAAACAGGGATTGCGTCGGCCATCCATCCAGAAATCGGCGAGAAGATTAACGTGGCAAGGGCCAGCGGGATGTTGGTCAGTCCGACTTGAGCTGGAGAAAGGTTGTACGGAGGTGCGGAGAAGATGTTGACAGACAAGACACCGATCATCAAGAGCCAACAAAAGAAGGATGCGTAGACCAGGGTCGAAAAGATGACGGCAGGGAAACAGACGAGAGGGAACGGCTTGACCACGCCCCTCCAAAAGGAGTCATCGGATAATCTACCGCGGAAAATACGAAGTTGACTCTTATAGCTTTCCTTAGACTCACTAGCTGAGTCATCTCCCTTAAGAATCACATCTGTACTTCCTATCGAAGATGCTCGTGAAGCTGGACGTTTCTCATCGAACCTGGTGCTGCGCGACTTCGTGTAGGTGGTCTCGACAATGACGAAATACATAAGCGGTAGTATCACGCAGAAGATGAGCGCGCTGATAGCAAAAGTGCCGGAAATACCTAACGACTCAATGATGTAGCCAGAAATGATCTGACCCAGGAGAACACCGGTTCCTAGCATCACTCCCCACAAAGACAGGCGTGTTCCTCGCTGATGAACGAAGAATAGATCCGAAACTGTGGATGTGACTAACGTCTCAAGAGGAGCGGATGCGATTCCTTGGAAGATGCGCATAGCGGCTAACGAGGGGAAGGACTGTGAAGTCTTAGCATATGGAGGAAGTTGAAGACATGATCGTGATTTGACGTACATCTGCGAAAGTACCCCAGATGTTCGATATCAACAGCAACAGTGTAGATATTACGAAGAATGGTCTCTTGCCCCAGATATTTGCTCCTGACGCTGTGAAGAAGGTGGTAGCACCAGTAAATAGCAGGATAGACCCGACCATGAATGTAGATACCATATCAGGACTGACATGGAACTGTTTACTGATTACGATCAAACCGGGCGAAATCATCGGACCAAGTCTGTTTCCGTTAGACCTTCTATGCAGCTCAAAGTTATGGGTTTGAGTTCACTTACGAAGTCGTGACGCCAGAGCTAAAAGCAAGAATGAACATTATGGCGTTCTTATGAACCATTGACCACTGTAGATTCCCTCTCGTCAGTCCTCAACTACTCGATCGTTGCATATATCAGAATTACTAACGTTGAGCGGATCATTAGGCGAGTCGCTCGGCTGAGGAACCAGGATGATGTCGCCATCTTTCTTTAAGTCGACGGTGCTCGCTAAACGTTTTTATAATCTTTAGCATTGTGACGAAGGGTAGTTAAAGCGGTGCTCTCATAACTAACCCGCATCAAAGGATGGATCGCCTTCTTCGCCAAGTTTTGATGTCCCCGGCGGCCGGGTCATATGTCTATCCTCTAAGACCCCGAGACCCATTTTGAATGAAGTTATAAAAATTGGAAAAATTGGAGAGAAAAAAAGAGAGAAAAAAACCAAGGAGTGTTTTATGAAAGACAGTAGCCGAAGAGAAAACGACGTAAGGAAAACGAGAGATGGAAAAGACACTGCCGGCAGTGTCTGGTTGGATGATTACCTTACGCAGAGATGGAAACTGAGAAACGAGAAAGGAGATAGCAAAGAAGGAAACAAGTCATCGCAAAACACACGGCAGCACATGTCATACTTATTCTTCCAAAAGTGACCTTGCGATGATCATGTCGCACGGATGGCGGCTGGTACATGGTGTAGTGTAATACATGTACATAGCCATCATGTGTTGGCGGTGGATTCGACCTTGGCCGTTCCCTGGGTCAAAAGATTGATCATCATCATCATAAATGTGAAGCAAGAACAAGGGAAGCTCGCTTCTTATCGCCTGTAGTAGACGTTTCTCGTACAAGCCTTAGAAAACAAGAAAAAAAAAAGAAAATAATAATAATAAATAATAAAGCACGGGGGAGAAGTACTGAAAACGCAAGGAATACAGAAAAGACCGGGCTGGAATGTCTGTTGTAGAGTTCTAGTTACTGTCAGATACTTCATGGCCTATCAAAAAAGCCACTATGATTGATCTTCGTCTTGACTGTTCCGCCCCACAAGAGATTCATATGCTATGTCAACTTAACAAAGTTAATAAGACATCAACGGGAGCCCGAAAAGCGCGAATCATCCAGGGTTGTAAAACAAATATCCCCTTTCACAACCTGGTCGGAAACAGCCGGGCCCCTGTCGATCCGGCACGACAGCACGATTCATCGCGGTAGTTGAAGTTTAGTTGGTTACCTACCTAGGTAGTTAATCTGATCCTTCTAGCCCTGCAAGCCACCGTGCTTTCGCACTCGTTTCGATAAACGCCCGAATCGGTGTTGACGATCTCTCGGCATCGGAATGGGGGAGAATTCTTGGTGTGGTTCAGTAACCCTTATTTACACTAGGAGAATTATCCAATAATAGCTAAAAACATCACTGATTCTAACGACGATCTTTGTCTATCGTCCCCGTTACTCGCTTACGAATATGTGGCTTATTTCTCCTATGGAAAACAAGGAGGCAGAAGACTTTGACGATGCGCAATGCAACCTTGAATACCTGTGCTTCGTCGTGGATTCTATGGATTTGAAACGAATCGGTAGAGATGAGCACCGATATACCGACTTATAACAACCCCCCCGGCGCGTTTGCGGCTGATAGACTTTCTCGTTTACATAGCACCCCCACATTGCCATGCCCAACCAGGCGACGACAAAGTCCTATAGCCTATCTACATTGCATATACCTACCTCCTATCGTAGACCTAAGACTTGCGCATCTTTAGAATCTCCTCGAGTCAAGCTTGAAATAGCATGGAGTCGTGCTAACTATTATTTACTTGAATAAAGAAAAAACTAAGTTAATCCTCTGCGATCATGATGGTTAACTACTTCATAACTAATGCTTGTAAACAACTTGTAAGGACCAGATACAGGTGTTTCCTAAAACATGTATTCCAATACATGCATTGACCCAACCTAAAGTCAAAGTCATCTCTGCATAAGCCGTGAAGTGAAAACAGTTCTAGTTTAGGTTGTCAGCTATTTCGTTTCAGATCTATCGTCTTAGCAACTATATGTACATACCTCCTATCTATGGTAAACCCCCAAACCTCCAAAAGCAAGTTTACCTCTTTTGAAATCTTTACCTTACAGAGATGTCTCAGAAAGAAACGGCACTAATAGTGAGGTAGTCAACCTTAGGTTGGGGTAAGTGATTAAGCTCAATTAATAGGTTAGGTACCTTTAGCCTTACATGATTTCAGACGAATGGCCAATCTATTTCAACAAAGAATCATCCAAGGCTCCTATTCCCAAACGCACGGCAACCGCCGTCAGTCTCCCTCTGTTTTCGCATCTTGATCCTTTTCTTGACCCGGTGCCGATCGTTCAGATTCCTTATCCTCCAATCCGCCTGTCTCCTTCTCGCCCCCTTTTGTCTCCTCAGTCTTGGCACCGTTACTCTTGTCGCCCGCCTCTGCTGTGTCACCAACCTCGTCATCTTCTTCGTCATCCCACTCTGGTATCAATTCGTTCGTGGCCTCGCCCTCGTCACCCTCGTCGTATCCCGCAAGTACGCTCCTAGCTGCCCGTCTACCAATCACTGGTAGCCGCTTGACTCCTGCCTCGCTAGCATTCTTCGGTACCGCCTTGGGATCCAATAGACCTACTTGCACGAGCACGCTAGCCTGGTCCCAGTAGATGTGTTTGTGATATAGCTTGCCGCCACGAAAAGTCACGATGCTTACGACAAGAATCTCGACTTTCTTATTAGTTGGCGGTACCCCTGGAAGTATCCAAGGCATGTCTTGCGTGTGTTTGAAAGCGACGTGCAGCTCGTCGACAACACGGTCGGCACCGATAGTACGCGAGAGTAAAGTGAGCTTGAGGGATTGCGGGTTTTTGTCGATGAAGAACTCGGAGTAAAATTTCTGGAGCTCATCGGAGCCAATGGCCCCGGTTAAGGTAGGGGTATAGGTAACATGAGGGCTCTTGTGAGTGGAATAAGTCGATATGGCCTGCTGCAAATGGCGATTATAGAATTTGCCTTAGATAGGTTAATCGATGTTAACAATATCCGAACACGTCGGCTTTCTTCTTCCGTTCAGATCGCTAAATGATAGGACTTGCTTACTTTCAACATTCTGGTCCAGCACCGTTTCTAGATCAACGTCTCTTCGAAAAGCTCTACGTGCCGTTGCTAAACTTCTGCTCCAGCTAAGCTCTGCGCTGACCCTGTCAAACTCATCCAGGTCACGTTCCGCAAAGCCGGGCAGCGCATTGTATGTGTAGCTTGGGTACGATGCCTGCATGGTTCCGCCAGCGCCCATACCACGATCGACTTTCCATTTTGAGATCCTTTTCTTCCCCTGGACGCCGACTATCTGGGTCTGCTTCACGATGCCGACTTCTTCACCGGTTGTTAGGTGAACAAGCACATGGATGCCGCCGGGAAACTTGGTACGCGTGTCTGGAATACGCGTAGGATAATAGGCGATAAGACAACAGAGCTTGAACTCGGGATTGTTATCTAGAATGTGAAAGTGCTCCATGCAGAAACTGGCGGCATCTCCGTACGCTAAACTTCACGTCAGAATAATACCTAGGTCCTAGGAACGACGTAGATATGCTAAGGTACTTTGATACGTCTAAATTGCGAACATACCGATGATGCCGTAGGTTTCGCAGGGGCCTAAGTTGGTCCTGCTTAAGGATTCTAGCTTCATTCGATATTCATTACCGCCGCCGCCCATGGGGATATATTCGACGATGAACCCCTCGTCTCTCCAATCATTTAGAGTGACTAGGTCAAACTCGTCGTCTTCGGCAGTAATATATAACCTCGGGGTAGAATGCGGGAAGTCGCTGGAGAGAAACCCGTTTTCATTATGATTGGGACCAAGGTTAGACGAGATGATTCCTACGTTTCCGTTACCACGATCCGGCATGACGGCGTTTACGATATCGGGCAAGTTAATTCCCATATTTCTCATTGGAATAAACCGATATGAGATCGAGACACTGATTTTTTTTTTTTTTAGGAGTTGTATGGATTTACTTTCGAGCAGCTAATAAAATATCTAACATCATCTACAACACTTGGATCTATGATTAATTCTCGGTCGAACCTTGGATCAGCAGTGTAGAACAGGTTGATGGCAAAATGGTTGGTTCGGTCATGACGTCAACGCCGAGTCTAAAAAACCTGTCTCTCGGCCGGGCAGCCGGGGTGGTTATTAATGTCCGTACCTAATGCGCAGGCACACCTCAAACACAGGGAAGGGACTTTATAAGTTAAAATACCTATGAAGCGTGTATGGCTTAAATTATGCTGTTACCTAATGCTATGAATCTTATTAATGTAGGTGACCAAGGATAGCTCCTAATGTTTGCTATCCCTAGGTTTTATTAGACTAACACTTAGCTTTCTCTTAGAAGCCGGTTGGGGTATGTTCGGTTATCGCAACGGGATGCCATACATAGTACTTCAACCACCTGTTATGCATACAGGATTCCAAGATTAAGTGGTTTATACCTTACGTAAAGTAAACTAGATAGATGCGCAAGGGATAAGCTAATAGAAATATTAAATTACCTAAGTCGTTCGTTATGTTGTTAACTGGTTAGGTCTGTCAGGCATCCTGGCAGCGCTGAAGCATCCACCATCCATATTCTCTCCGACTACTAGGTTAAGTCCTGGGATGACGCGAAATGTCACTCCCTACATAGTAGGCGCCGAGATTCGAACTAAGACAGCCAAGGCGGACAAGACCGGGTCGACTTATTCGACTACTCGACTACTCGGTATCAGGTACCTAAACCAACTTAACTACACCCGTCATATGATTAACAGCGATCACCTTCGAACTCGAAGCCAAGAGATCTCCAGTCATACAATTACACCTAACTTCTCGCTATCCAAGACAAAATCGTTGCACCAACGACAATTTTTTTTGTAATGTTAGGTAAGGTAAATATCGTACATGCAACCCCAACTCACATATAGTAGTATATCGCCGGAGAACGTGCCGGCTTGGTTGTATGTAGCACTTGGACGATAATACAAGGCAACTTAATATTGAATCATATTCTGTAAACTAATCTGTAAACTAAAATGGTATCAAAACAAACCCGGCCCTTATCCATCTAGATATAACACACCTAATCGATTTTAAACATGAAAGACTAAAGACTGATATTCAAAATTTCAGAGACGACCATCGTTCACCGGGATCATCAGTAAGTGATCATTGCTAGCGGTCCCTGTCGTAAATATTCCGAATCTAATCCTAATTCGCATGAGTAACAGTTCCCTTCTCCGGGTCGCCATCCTCGCTTGCCGAGGCCTCGCGCCCGTGGATATCATGTCCAACTGCCTTGCTAACGTTCTCCTGTCCTGCTGCCTCAAGTGCATCGGCATCGTGACCGACGTCCATGCTCCTGTTTAGATGCTCAGGACCAAGCAGCGTTAGCAGGATAACATAAGCGTAAACGCAACCCATGAAGATGCAGATGACGATGCCATAGTTATATCGCTTTACGTTGTTCTTAGGCGCTAGCGGGAAACGCTCTCCGATTGTCGCTTCGATCGTGGAACTGGCCGATGAGACCAGGTTACCCAGTTGGTAGCTGGTACCGACGACAAAGGTTCGAAATGCACCGGGCGATAATTCCATCAGATGCACGGGAATAACACCCCAAGCACCCTGGACGCAAAACTGCTCGAAGAATGCTGCGGCGATGATCCTCTCGTTGGAGACGAACGTGTAGGGGTACAGAAGAGCACCGCCGATGATGCACATAACAATGATACTAAGACGGCGACCGAATATTTGCGAGCAGAAACCTACGATGGCTCCTCCGCTCATGGCTCCCAGATTCGCGACGACCTGAGTGACGGTCACTTGGTTGGAGTTAAAGTTGAACTGGTTTCTCAACATGGTGGGATATAAGTCCTGAGAACCGTGGGACATGAAGTTGAAACCGGCCATGAGGAGGACCAAATAGGTAAGTAGCATCCAGTGACGCTTCAAAGCAACCTTACCCTCCGTTATAAATGTCTTGCCGATGCTTCCATTGGCAACTCTCAGCGCCTGGTGTTGTTTATACGTTTCGGTCTCAGGCAAAAAGAAACGCCAGATGATGAAAAGAACCGGGGGCCCGGCGCCGAACCAAAATAGTGGGCGCCAGCCGTGAGATGTGGTGTTGACCAAACCACGGGCGAAGGCCGTGGCGAGCAGATAACCGAAAGCGTATCCCTGTTGGAGGATACCGCTCATTAAACCCCTCGACTCGTTTGGCAGATCTTCTAAAGCGGTTGCGGCGGCGTTTCCGTAAAGGCCACCCATAGCCACTCCGAAAAGGGCACGACAAGCCAGGAATTCTCCGTACGTATTACAGAAACCGGTTCCCTATCAGGTACATTTTACAAAGTTAGCGATCCGATATCACGCACAAAATTCGAAGCGGAGAATAGAACTGTCCAGATCCAGATGCGACGAGGGAACCACAAAAAAAAAAGATGATGAAGCTTTGCCAACGCTGCGCCAAGCGACGCCAAGCTGTGGGAGAGTGATTGGCATCCCGAGCTTAAGGAACGCCACGTTACGAAGTAACTTATGGGGTGTTATTCTTGGGGGTGGAACCTGCCATTGCATTTTTCTGGGTTTCTGGGGAACATGAAGCATGATGTAAGTGATGTGCAATGTACGACATACCAATTCGAGTGCGATGAACAGCAAGTTATTAACGATGAAGGGCCATTTCCGACCGTAGCGATCGGCTGCGATACCAAAGAGGATGGAGCCAACAGATCGGAACATAAGAACGAGCGTAATGCCCCATGTTATATCGGTATTGGACCTGTCGAACGATTCGGCCAAGTCGTCGACTGTTAGAGATACAGTAAAGAAGTCGAAAGCATCCCACGTCTATATTCTAACATCAGAATAAAATGAAAAAGAAGAATAAGAGAAAAAGGAACAGGTCAAAACTCAGACGTACCCAAGCCCAAAATGCGACACCAAAGAAAGCCCATTGGCGCCGATTCAGCATCCTAACCAAGCGAATTGGATTGGGCGCTTTTGTCATCGGAGGCTTGAGCGTAGAGATACGCGTGGCCAAATATTCTGTCGCCGACATGCCATGCCAAGGAGGATAGATATTGGCCTCGTCTATAACTTCATTTCCGTAAGAGTTGTGAGGCGCCAATGCGCCTTCGTTCTTGACTGTTGTCATTGCTGAGCTGTATCAAAGCAAACGAGGTTCTTGTCTACCTAATGTGATGTTCACTACGGAAAGGGAACACACAATGACGAGAGTCGGGAGGGACCTCGGTCGTATTTGAAGGAGGCCCGGATGAGAAGGGGGGGAAAAGATTAAGACGGCTTACGGCAAGATAGGGAAACAGAGATAATACGGCATACTCGACAGGTTATTATAATGTGAGTTTCTCTCAAGTAATGACTAAAACTACCTACATACAGTAACCTAGTCATTACCCCCAATTCTAAAGGCCTCTAGCCTCCAGGCGGTCTAGGGACTTAATCTTGGGGTGGTGCGGGGGAAGGGAATGGGATCCTTGAAGCTACCAGGATCATATATGCAAGTTACGATGACGATGATTGGACAGATACCCGGGAGGATAGCTGACGTTATGTTGGCTAGCAGTCATGAGAATAAGAAGAAAAAACCAACACGGCCTCTACAGGCTTGGCCTATCGACCATTTTTGCCATATTCCTTTGTGAGAATCGAGCCAAGAACAAAGGGGACCCCAAAGACCCAAAGACCGCCTTCATCTTTGGGCTAGACTACCCGACGATCGGTAGAGTACGGAAGCTATGACGATAAACGTTGCGTTGCGTTGCGAAGAGGATGAAAGCAAGGGCGTTAGACTCGGGTATCCCTCTACTGGGTCAAATTAAAGCTCTGCGAACTGTTGCTCCCCTCACCCCTGATAGCTGTGGAGATGGTGATGAGGAGTAGAGGGTGAGTTTCGTCCGTTCGTTTGCTCGAATCTCGGGACGTGCTTTTCTTAGGGCGACGGATAAGATTTGATTTTTTTTTCTATCATTCTTTGTCCGAGGTCCCTTCCAAACTACTACCTCACTACATAGGTAGGTACGTATGATGTATGATGGATCGTGTATGCAGCTCTCCGCGACTCTCCGTGTTATGCATATGGAGCAAACCATGATATGTATCGTTACAAATCTAATGAGATACCTGCTTTAGGGTTGTGCATTATCATAAAGTTACATCATTTCCCGAAGGCGAGGATAGCGCGATCATACCGAGGGGAGCCGGATGGGTCAGCCGCAGAGGCGACTTACACGGAGCAGGGGAAACCCTTGTGAGATAGCCGAGCAACAAACTAGAACAATGGACTTTATACTTGGGTACAGTGCTCGTACGATTTCTTTTCCTAGGCTTGTCCCCTCATTTCCCCACGCTGGGATAGAGATCCCACCAAGTCCAATACCTTAGGTAATGAAGATGAGTATACACCTACGTGCTTCGGGCGTTAGGAGGCTTGAGAATCTCCAATCCAATAAAACTCGAGGCTCTAAGACAATACGATATACAGGTTAGATATGACCGAGGAGAGAGAGACACACGCTCATTGCGTCTCATTACGCCACAATATCTACTGGAACATAAAATAATTCGACATTTCTCAATACGCGATCTAGACCTTGAACGGCTTGTCCTAAGGTGTGTGGAGAGAGATGGGGACTCGTCTGCAATTATGGGCATCACCGGCGATTCTAACCACAATAAAAATTCCATGGTGGACCAAAGCTATCCCATCTCGCTGACGCCATGTTCGTCTAAAAATGGCGTTAAGCAGGTACAGTTTTAATACCATGTTTAACTAACACCGCGTCAAAGCCAACCAGTTTAGGTCTAATAAAATTTAGGTCTAATAAGAAGCGCGACTCGAGCAAAGCCGATCTTCTTAGACCTACTATCCCATAAGTTTCTAGATCTGTCCTTCCTGCTTGCGAACAGATGCGATACAACACAAATGTCGTGGATGTCGTGGCACCAGCGAAAGCTACCCTATGGATTGCAGGCTTTGAGTTCCACTGATAAAAGCCGGATGCGCCTTAGCACAAGATCCGGAAGGACGAGATGATGTCGCTTAAGTTGCCGGGACTGCGATCTGGACCATTGGGCCAAGACATAAACATGAACTATTGAGCGATTTCACACGCGTTTATTTCTGTTGCATACATAGGGTGCCTACCTTTATCAAGTATCTAGGTAAGCTATGAAGAAAACGAAGTGGATATTTCTTAGTGTATATGCAGGTTGTCACATACATATGCTTGACTTGCAGATTATCCCCTCGGCGCCGTGAAGTCTTCGCGAACCCCACAGCGAGACTGAATCTCTCCAGTTGGATATCCTAACTTTCACATTCATCCCGATGAGGAGCGGGAAAAAAGGGGTGAGTTAGATGAGTCGACTGCGCGAAATGTATAAGAAGATCTCGTTTTTACTTCGACGGGACATTATCGGATTTGCTTCGGATGTAAGCCGTTTCTTCGCCACCCCGTCCGAAGCTCCGAGAAGGCATTTTCACGATGATGAGAGATTTGGTATCTGACTAGAGAAAGGGTTTTTTTTTTAAAAAAAAAATACATATATTACCGCGCCAGATCTCACCGTATTCGTCGAGCTTAGTATGAATTGATGTACCTAATATAATCGTGAACTCGCACGTCAAGATAGTTGTTTCTATCCCGTAGAAGAGAGATGAGATGTATTCAAAGCAACGTATGTTTGATATGGATTTACGATAAAGATGGAATGATGTCACATTAGAAGGGATAATCGCAGCTACCGCGAAGCGATCAAGCTCATGCTATGGATAGTCACATATATTAAGGGGGTGCAACCCTCTTATAGAATCGGCTTACGATGGTGTCGGCAAACCTGTAACACAACACACTATCGTTACGGTAAGCACTGCATCTACTACTAATATATATGGTAAACCGGTTCCCATGATGCAGTTCTTATTGCTATATGCATCTATACAAGGTATTTCTATTGTTGTTGTTGGTCTTAAGCTTTAGACAAGGCGCTAATGAGGCTTAAGTTCATATTAGCATCAGTAAAGCCGTTTACAAAAGCCGGCAAATAGTACGGCTTCGGCCCGTTAAGCTTGTATAAGATGAGGAGCTCGTTTGTAAGGTCACCCCGTCGTTCATTGGTGTTCTAGCGCTAGGTACCGTGGAGTCTTGGTGAGGCACGAGACTCAGAAGCAAACAACAATCAAAACGAAAATCTCACGATGGATTCCCCACGGAGAGGTGAAATTGGGGATTTCCAAGACGGAGAATGGTATAAATGAGGATTAGGATGCGCGCTACGTTCTGGGCGTCTCCATGCGTTACGAAGTAATTACGTATCGAGACCTTGCAACTTAGACCATGGGAACTGTTACCTAGTATAATAAGTGTCGTTCGAACCATAAGCCTCCTTCTATCCCCAACTCCAACTACCTTAGGTTAGGTACCTACCTAGTAAACATCCGCATCCCTTTACATTTTCGCCCAGGCCCTTATTATGCCTCTTTACGCTTCGGGCCTAGTTTCGAATGGTAAAAGCCGCTAAATCCAACTTGCCAAGTTCTTAGTTATGTAGAAAAAGCCAAGGAAAAGAGGAAAAAAAAAAGACCCACGACAATTGTTGGTTCTTCCTCCCCATACCCACCGAGAGTGAGGAGAATCCCAAACGCGGGGTCCCCAAGGTGAATGGGTAGCTTCTTACAGGGATTATACCTCTTGGCTTTTGTTACCCATGGCATGGGGAGTGCCTCTTTGCTCGTGCCTTTTTTTTTTTTCTCCTTTCTTTTTTTTGGAGGTCACGCTGGATTATTGTACCCGCCCCCGTATGTTGTCGGAAGCTGCTCAGGTCAGCGTACGTAGGTAGTAGATGGAATGACAAAAAGAGGAACTGGGCTTATCCATGGATAGGTTAGTTACCTTGGGTAGTGAGTATATAAGCTGAGCAATCTCCTGAGGGGATAATCGTTGTTTGCCTGTTGTAATGGTATTAGTATCTAGCTCCCCTTCCTGTAGAGTCTTAAAGTAACCCCCTCCTCCTCCCCTGAAAGACTTTGCGACAATGGCTGGAGGCGTCAAAAAGCCTGTCAACATCTTCAAGTTGAAGGACCTAGGAGAGCCGAAGAATGTCTTCAATTGGCGACTATGGTTCGCCGTCATCTCCTTTGGTCTCCTCGGCGCCGCCCGTGGGGTCGACGAGGGTCTGATCTCGGGCGCATTCAACTCCAAAGACTTCCAAAGAACGATCAACTATTCTTCGTATGGCGACGTCGAGCGGACTAATATCAAGGCTAACGTATCTGCCATGGTCCAGATCGGCTCCGTTGGCGGTGCTTTGTTCGCCTTCGTCATCTGCGATCGCATCGGTAGGATATGGGCTACGCGACAGCTCTGCCTGTTATGGATTTTGGGAATTGCAATCTTCATGGGTAACGGCGGCAGTGTTGGAGCTGTTTATGCTGGACGGTTTATTGCAGGCCTTGGAGTTGGCCAGACCCCTGTTGTCGGTCCCATTTACGGTATGTCTGTTATCCTCCAAAAGTTTTATGCCTCTTTCATTGGTTACCTCTACCTAACGTGTATATACTAATTGTATCATAGTATGTCAGAACTTAATTTCATCTTCTATTTTCCATTTCTAGGAAATGTTTTTTTCCTTTTCTTTCTTTCTTTCTTTCTTTATTTTTTCATATTTCTTTTTATTTCATCCTCCTATGATGTAGACCGTGTACAAGACTTTCCAGAATCGTCACGATGGACCCTCCGCTTTAGCACGGAATATTAATTTTTAACTTGAAAATAGATCGCCGAGATCGCCCCAGCCTCCATTCGTGGCTTGTGCACTTGTATCTTCACCGGATTCGTTTACGTCGGTATCGTTCTCGCCTATTTTACCAACTACGGCGCTCAGATCAACCTCGGTGACTCGACTCACGTCCGCTGGGTACGCATTATTGCCTTGATTTTGCTATTTGGTTTTCCTATCTTCCACTTGAATACAATAACTTTACGGAACTAACATCAGCGAATCCTAGCTCGCACCAACAAGTCTACATATCATTTTCGCTGGGCTCATCTTCATCCTGACCTTCTTCCAGTATGAGTCCCCGCGCTTCCTCATCAAGCAGGGAAGACATGACGAGGCTACTGAGACAATGGCCCACATCCGCCACTTACCGGTGGATGACCCCTATGTTCTCTCAGAGATCAACGCTATTAGGACCGCACACGAGGAAGAACTCGAAGCTACTATGGGGTCTAGCTGGTATGGAGTGCTGAAGGAGATGTTCTTGATTCCTAGCAACCTTTACCGTCTTTATCTTAGCGCCATGGTCCAGTTCTTGTCCCAATGGTCGGGTGCTGGATCTATCACCTTATATGCGCCCGACCTTTTCAAGCTTCTAGGTATCACAGGCCAAAATGAGTCCCTCCTAGTCACCGGTGTATTCGGTATCGTCAAGTTCGTCTCTGCAGTCCTCTGTGCTCTCTTCCTCGTCGATGTCATCGGCCGCAAGCGTGCCTTGCTCCTTGGTATCACATTGCAGGCAATCTCCATGATCTACGTAGCTGGATTTCTAACCGCGGTACCGGAGCTGGGAGTAGAAGATGATTACGTACTGCCCGCAGCTGAAGCGAGTGCCAGTCGTGGTGCTATCGCTATGATCTATATATCTGGATGCGGTTGGGCTCTTGGCTGGAACTCGATGCGTATGTGATGTTCGTGCTTACCTATCTTTACAACTATCGCTAACTATAACTCCAGAGTATCTCCTAACGGCCGAGCTCTTCCCTTTGCGGATCCGTGCTTTGTCTACGTCTATCGTAATGACTCTACATTTCGTGAATCAGTACGGCAACTCGCGCGCTGTGCCCAATATGCTACTGCCTACCGCCCAGGGTGGCATCTCGCCCATGGGAACATTCTGGTTCTTCGGCGCCATTACCATTGTCGGCGGCCTGTGGGTCTGGTTTTTCGTCCCCGAGACTGGCGGCCGTTCACTAGAAAGCATGGATCGTCTATTTGAACTGCCATGGTACAAGATTGGGCGTCATGGTAACGAGGACGCGGAGCGCAAGGACGAGGCCTTTAACGAGAAGGCCGGTATGGACCCAGAGGCTGAACAAGTCGAAATAGTCGGTGCTAAGAGAGCAGGCGGAGATTCACATGTTTAAGATAGTCAAGCTTCCTGTGTCACATTTCAAGAACTTCGGTACAAATGCCGGTGAAGTAAAAGAGAAGATGTAATCTTTTTTTTTTTTTTAATATACGGATATTTTGCGGGAAACTCATACGCACAGATGCCCATAGTTCTGATCAGGGTAGTCATACCTGATCTGGGGGTGATTTTATTTTACAAGCCTTAGGTCCTCTCTATAGGACCCCGTGGGTACCTCAAGTGATAAGTAGGTGAAATTGCTCTGTCTCCGCAACACATAGAGGCACCTAACCTAAGGTAGCTTTCTTTTTACGCTTCCATGAAATTTCTCCCATCCTTCGTTTCAAGGGCTATATATTAACTTAAATATCTCGCCGGACGTGTCGCTTGACATGTATAGCTCTCCAGCTTTGTCGAAAACTAAACCGACCGGTCGTGTGCAGTTTGATGACGAGCACTTCCCTTCGTCAGGCGGGTAGAAGATATCTACATACCCAGTTTTGCTGTTTGCTGGTGCGACGGGGGCGTAAGCTCCATTGTCGCCGGGATCACGCTTGAAAGGCACTGCTACAAGCTTGTATCCGGCTGGAGGATCGCGGTCCCAACTACCGTGCAAGGTGACGAACAGATTGGTGTACTTGGGCGCATTAAATTTGGCATCTAGCGGTGCGGTGTGGGCTTCGAACGTAAGACGTGGGGGCCTTGACATCTTTGCACAAGAGTTGTCATCGAACGTCTGGTTCGGAGCTAGGACGAACTGTTGACCAACGTCTAACTGGTTTCCACTAGTAGTGTTGGTGAGAGCTGCCTCGGGTTGCCATACGGTGAAACATGTCGGATACCCATACCACTATTAAACCCGCAGTCAGTACTTGCTCCGCTAAAATTGATATGGTTTATCTCAAATATAATATAGCTCTAGGATCTACTTACAGCATCATTTGGCGTCTTAATATCGCCTAGGTAGTTGAGCTCCTCAGCTGGGTTGTCATTGTGGATATCTGTCGAAACTCCGCTGACGTTGCGCGTGAGTTGATCAGCGCTGTTCTCTACACCCCAGAGCCTATGCAGGAGTTAGCCAGATCGTTTTTTCTTTTTCCTTTCCCGAGAAGATGGTGGGGGGGGGGGAGGGGGTTGCTATACATATCATTGCCGTCGAAGACAAGCCCTACTTCGTTTCGTAGGCCGTATCCAGCGCCCCAACCATCTTTAACAAAGTCGTAGCCACCGTTAGGTATGGTTGAAATATTAAAGACTTTGACGGTAGCCCTCGCCGTTCCCGGATCAACAGCCGCGAAGTCGACATTACCCTTGGAACCATGAGAAACGACTAGAAGATCCGGGCAGCTGGATGGTATGATCAAGGTTCGGGTGACGTGGTCGTCAGGGGACATGCCCGAGATGATAGTGGTAGGTGATTGACTAATGTTACCAGTCTTAGGGTCATATGACCATCTGAAAACCGTGGTGGATGAGCTGGCAAATAACTTATTGCCGTCGATTCCGAGGTAGATGCCATGGTTCAGGGCAGACATTTCAATAAGAAGGCGAGAGGAGTAAATGCATCCAGAAATATCAAGGTCGTGTTGGCTTATACCAACGCCCCTTTCCACGACCAAAAGCCGGTTGAGACTGTCAAGGACAAGGCCACGAGGCCGGGACAGTCCATCTCCTACCTTCTTGGCAATCCAGCCTGGGGCCAGATTGAACGGATACCGAGCAGGAGGAACGCCGCGACAAGGGTCAGCAAAGGCGCCAACTAGAATTGGTTTTGTTCGGGTTAGGATGAATGTGCTAATGAACAAGGTATCACCTTTTTATTCTGGAGTCTTACCGGTGAAAAGCAGCACCGCAACGGTGCTTGCGAAAATATTAGACCACATTGTCGTTTGGTACTTGGGCCTTGGTTGCGAGATGGTCTAAATAGTGATGCTTGGTGAAGAAAGTATTTGTGAGAGGAGAGTGGGACGAGAGTGGGAGAAGAGAGGGACGAGGGAGGCTTATAAATAATTTAAGTTGTTAAGCAAAGTAACGAGTCTTCCTAGCGTGAAACCTTTCAGATGCAGAAGGCAACTACGATGCTGCAAACCCAGTGTTAATACAGTCCTAGAACCAAGTGAATGGAGAGGTGGAAGGCAGGTGCGAGGATAGCGTGCATGCAAGCTTGACTTGTATCATAGGTAGTACATACCTAAAAAGGAATCTACCTAAAAAGGAACCTACCTAAGGTAGGCACTGCGGCAGGCATTCACGGTGCACTTGAGGTATAAAATTATGTATGGGATGCTATCACGAGTTGATTTATTACGCGTTATTGTAAAATCAGCTGCGCCATGAGAAGTTGAGATTTAGGTATACGTCCGTACCATCCATCCGATGTTGGCAGCCCCTATTGATATATGCCTCGTCACCTATTGAATTTTGTAAGCAATCAATTATTGAATGGCACTGTATGAGTATTATTAGAAGGCAGGTTAAAGGAATAATCAGGTGTAATAATAGCAATTTGTTCACAACTTTGCGCAGAGCATGAATTGATATTCTTAGGGTTCAGGTGCTCATGAGGAGAAAGGGGCGACACAAGCATGGCACGAAAGATTAGGATAGGTATACATTGAATAGATTTTTTTTTAATTCATATTAATAAGTCCATCCGGAAGATAAGAATGAAAGAATTTATTAAAAGGAGAGGTTCATAGGTAGCAAAGATAATTAATCCCCACAAGAAATGTAAATATGTAAATTATATCTACCTGCAACTAGATAAGAACAGAAAAAAAATATTGTAGGGAATCAACCAGTATAACGCCGAAGTCCATCACCCCGAAGATGCGAGTCTAAATGATAAGGTTCGAATAGACAATAGACGATGGCTTGGTGTTTGAAAGGCGAAAAGGCGGACGATGTGTCAGGCCAAGATAGATCACCAGTGTTCAACGACCCTGTTTGGCCCCCCCGATGATAAGACCATGTATCTTTGCGACACGCCGGAAGGAAAGATATGAAGACGATGCTTATTACTTCCATTCGAGATGACGACCAAGGATCTACTGGCAACGTTGACCGAGTACTCTAGACATGCTTACAGGCGGAATTGTAGTTAGAGTCTAGTGGCACCTTTTCATTCCCCTTTCCTATTGGTATATTACTGGTCGAACCCGGAACCGAAAGCAATCTTATTAGAAACTGCCGAAAATATTGCTAGCTATTCCTGCAGAGAATCAAGGCCCAAGTCCTTTACTATTGTGGGTAGGTAAACAACCTACAACTTCCCTAACCTAGTAAAGCACCTCGGTACTTTCTCCCTTTTCAACTCTCTCGCAGAGCTCACGAAGCACCCCGCCGGCCCACTCGAAATCTTCGATATCCAGATAAGTTTGCGCACTTATCCTCGCCCATGTACGGCCATTATGTGTGAATAGCGGGATTAAAGTCTTATACTCGAACACCATTCTTTCCATCATCCACGCAGACGCGCGAGATGCCTGCTCGAGCGTTAATGGCAAGGCCACGTTTGTCGTTGCACACCGCGAGATTGTGCCGGTCTTGTTATCTAAGACCTCAGTCCCAAGAATCTGCGCGACCCTCTTACCTCCTTCCCTTGCCAGCCCATGAGTATATTTGATGATCTCGTCTTCGCTTCCGAACGTCTTCTCCCGCCATGCTATCGCATCCTTAACGCAGAGGTAAGCACTTGTGTCCGATGTTCCTATGAACTGGAAATTGTTAATAAAAGGTATTGGGTGGCTCCTCGGCAACGGGTTGAACCTTTCTCCAGACTTAGAGATGTATCCATGAGAAGTAGGTACTGTTGAGGCTATCAACCCTTGGTTCCGAAATGGAACGTACAGGACAGCACAACTTCTCGGTACGTAAAGCCATTTGTGGCAATTAGAAACAAAGAAATCGGGATCCAGAGCTTCGAGATCGAAATGAAGCATCCCGGCGCCCTGAGCGCCATCTACCAGGCTCAGGATCCCTTTCTCTTTGCAGGTTTTCGCAATAGCCTCGAAAGGAAATCGAACGCCCGGGAGACTAGATACTGTGTCGAAGAGGCAAAGTTTTGCGCGTTTCCCCTCTCTTTTGGAGTCCTCGACCGCGTCTACGAAAGAGGAAATAATCTCGTGGTCTTCGCATGGATAGGTTATCCGTACTTCCCGTGATGAAATCCGGCCGCGGCCCGAATCAACAAGATAGTCAATGGTTTTTCCACATGAGCCGTATATTGTGCTGAAATAGAGAATTTCATCCTTGCAGTCATCGTCCCAGTCGATATTCCGAAGGACAGTGTTCACTCCGGCTGTAGCGTTCGGTACAAACACTACCGTTTCTGTCGGTGCCCCAAGTAATTTTGCAATGGCATCCCGATTGTCGTTGAGTATACCGGGAAGCTCGTAACGAATGAACGCGTCAGGTGCTGCTTCGGTGCGATCTTGGTATTGCCGAAGTTTGTTTCTAATTTCTCGTGGAGTTGCTCCAAAAGAGCCCGTCGGTGGTTTAGCGAACATGTATAGCTTAGGTATCTACATAACTTGAAAGAGTTGATGATAATTGCTTACCATGATTCAGGTTACGATGGCTTGGATCAAATGCGAAATGTTGAAGAACTCTCTTGCCAAATACATTCCGGTTATCTCCGAGCCTGTTTGGAGCTGGGTTTCCCATCGTTGTGGTGTCCAAGCTGTTGTAGTCTACAGGCATGTTGGACGTGAGTACCGCGTAATTGTCTGACCGATTCTCAAGACCAAGTACAGACGGCCTCGGTAATCGTATTTCTGGACGGATTTTAGGAGAGGTGTTGCTACTAGACTACAACGAGTTCTAAGACCTTATATAGACTTTATAAACCAACCCTTAGGACTAGATATGCTCTCATATGATAGCATTAGTTACCTGTCAACTGTTCAACAGGCCAAGCCATACCTACAGACGGAAGGGCGCATATCTCGCGCCCTTCCGTTAAGTCGTACTCCGATATCGAATATATCTATTCCAACCCGATCGCGGAAACATGCCTCGGGTATTTGAGGGGTACCTATATGGCGCTATCCTCGATTTGAGTTCAAAGGTCTGCCTATAACTACATCGGCGGAGCAAGTGAGTCAATTTCTCTTCTTTCTTCAATATATCGGTCATCTATACCTAACGGTATCAGCAAGGTACCGGCACCTAACCTATTGCAGGATAACCCCGGCCTTTCTACCTACCTACCTATATCGGCAGTGCGGGGAGACGATAATGTTGGGTAAGGTAGCCATACGTATCGGTACAATAATGTTTACCAGACTGGGGGGGTTTATTTGCCACCAACTATCTCGGCTATCTATCTGTCTTGAATGCATTAGATTACCTGACGTATAAATTCGAAATTTACCGCTTTTGATTTAAATGTTCTATCTTTATTATATTGGGGGTTTTGGATATTTGTTATTGATTCCAAATGGTATAGGGCCCGAACGATGTCCTGAGCACGTATGACGGATCTCGATGACTTCAAGAACGCCCTCGACATCTTCCAGGGGTGAGGCTATCATGAGCTTAATACAGCACGGCTGTATATTGGCGGAAAACAAGAAGCGTTTACAAGATAAGGTGGATGGAAGGAGAGAGGCCTATCGATAGGCTCAAAGCTCTAGTCATTACTGCCAGGATCGCTCAAGCTAGAGGGCAAATGTACTACAAGAAACGAGACTGATATAAAACCAGATACTCTACCTTCGTGCACCTGTAATAGACCCCTCTGCTAAGCCATGAGAATTCGGAATGCTAGGTTAGGTACCTAGGTAAAATTTACGCGACTCTCTCCAACTAAAACGTTAATCGGATCGCCGGGGGCTTTTCTAATCTGCAGCAACTCAAGGACAACCTATACTACCTGGAAAGAAGGCCACTAGACGCAGAGATGCTCCTGGTGCTTCAGCGAGCGTGTAAGGCAGCCAAGAGGGATATGGAGACATACTTGCGATTGCCAATGGAATACACTTACGATACAGAAAAGGTTCTCTTTGGAGATGAGAGTAAGTGAAGTGACTATGTCTGGTATGTGTGATTGGAACTTGATTATCGAATCCTACTAGCTCGGGTGTATAAAGCCGGGTGTGCAAAGGACTCATGCGGCATACCTAACGATGTCTTAAGCTCAGTTCAACGCAGCTTTTTCCTTTTTTTAATATAACAATTGCCACATTCTACCTTGCTAGCGCATAGTGTAAAAAGTCCGCAGGGTTGATGGCAGGCGGATCAGGAAGCCGGCTATTGTCAGTTCCCACATCTTCGGTGCGCTTCAAGTAGCACCGTCGCCAGTGTCAGAGATGGCGGGTGGGAAATGACGGCTGTATTATCGCATGTATTAGCAGAGAGTGTATCAAGCGTGCACCCGGACTGTTGATAAAGAAAGGAGAATGAAGGACTTACGGTATAACTTTTGCGTATGCTCTTTCATCCTTCAGTTCAAACGTGACGAAGATGACCTTATCTAGCTTATGGCCATCGTCGCTATTCATAAACTTTCTGACGGTATCACAGGCAACATGGGCGGCCCCGTCGCTCGGATAGCCGTAAACACCGGTGCTGATTGCGCTAAAGGCGATAGTCTTCAGATCATTCTGCACAGCGAGGTCCAAGCTCGATTGGTAACAGCTGCGGAGGGCAGCCTCGCTCTTGGCAGGGTTGGTATCATTATAGACGGGGCCTACAGTATGTATAACCCTTCTACAAGGAAGGTTGTATGCGTCGGTGATCTTAGACGAGCCGGTAGAACAACCACCCAAAGTGCGACACTCGTCACGTAGTCCGGGGCCAGCACCACGGTGAATGGCACCGTCAACACCGCCGCCGCCTAGTAAGGAGGTGTTGGCAGCGTTTACGATGACATCAACGGATAACGTGGTGATGTCCCCGCGGATCAAGCCGATGCGATCATTGTACGCCGAAGAGGCGCCGTTGAGAGGTGGATGGTTTGGAGCTTTTAATTCGTTACTGCGGTAGAGAGAGGTAAGAGAGGGGATATCTGATGCAGAGGTGTGAGACATCTTGGAAGAGGCAATACGAAGCATTCGGGCGTTAGAATGCCACATAGCAAGCTTGCTCGTGATTGGGGTTGAAAGTTTTAAGACGTCAAAGAGGTGCAATACAATGTTTTTTTTTTTTTTTAAAAAAAAAAAAAAAAAAAAAAAAGAGGTCAAAGAGGTTCGACGTTGAGAAGTTTCCGTTACAATACAATACCTTAGGAGGTACCTACCTACCTGCAGTGAGATGCATAGAGGTAGGTACCTCTTTCCTTGATGACGTCTCGGACCTGCCCCTCCATTAGGTACTTCAGGTACCTCCCCTGCAATAGGTCCATATCGTATTGTACCAGGGTAGAGGTACCTTAGGTAATCTTTTATTCTAGGTACCTAGCCTTTAAAAACTTGGCCCCGGATGCGTCCCAACGTCGGCTTTGTAAACAACAACTCTTCTTTTACCAAGCAAAAGCGATCATTGAAAGCAAAGGTCGAAAGCAGCTGTATAAACTACTTAGGTAGCCACCACGTAGCCAATATGTCGAACTCTATATGCCCACCTACAGGTAGATCAATATCATATCGTCAATTCTGGCATTCTCGCTTTAATAGCAATAATCACAACGCCCCGTGGTGATACCCGTGATAAATCTGGCGATAAATCTGGCGATTCTCTGGCGTTTCATCTATCGCTTCAACTCAAACTTACCACCTAGGTCAACCACCTAAGTTAGGTAGCATTTGGCATAATGAAGGGTTGGAATCCGTTCAAAGCGACCCCAGGCGCAGTTCCGGATACAAATAACTACGATCCATATTCGAAGCCTTTCCCGCCCATTATTCGCCCGCCATACCCAACTGCCTATGAATTAACCCCAAATCATCCTCCTCCTCCTACTCGATTTCCCCCCGATGCTATATCTGAAAACCCTACCAATCGACCTTTCTACCCAACTATAGTTTCACCTGACTACCACCCTCGACCTCACTACTTCCACTGGGATGTGCTTCCAGATCAGGCCATACATCCTGACCCAACAAGACCTCTGTCGCCACTTGCAAGGAGGTCCGGCGTCTCAGATTTCCCGCATAATGCCTTACATCACCCCGACCGCCAAACTCATTCTGGCCTTGCGACACTGTTTCCTAGCGTCCTAACCCCAGGTCTAGTAGATCCGATACCACGACCAGATAACGAGGTATTGCATAGGATATTTCGGACGGAGAGGGAGCAGGCCAACGCACTATTGATTGGCATCAAGGCCATGAGATTGCCCCCTCTAAACAGTAAACTCGTTGGTGGATTTCCATCCGACGAGGACCTTTCGAAGAGCCACTGGAACCAATGGGAATCCTTCAAGACGCGGCTGGTTGTCGTCGACGAGAGTCGGTGGCTTTCATGCTTTCGAAAGGACAACTGGTGCGATTCGAGATTGAATGTTTTAAATTCTCTGAGCAATCCTATTCCTGGCGTTGATATGTGGCCCGACGAGACATGGTACACTGTCGACAACCCCGTTATCTGGGGATTTGTTAGCCAAGCTCTAGAAATATCGTCTCGCATTCTCCGGTTGATGTGCGAAGAACAGGATGCCTGGCAGGTAACCCTTTGCTTTCGCCTTATATATATAGATATATATCTACTTATATATTGTAACCTGGCGCTTTGCAAGCTGTGTACGTACCTAGATGGCTAATATTTGATCAAGGCTCGACGCAATGTTTTGCACAGAACCGATACCCATTGGATCTATTGCAACTTACGACTTCCCAGCACAAGTCAGGGATCGCAAAACGAAATTAGTTCCTCGTCCAAAGGAACAAAGAGCATCCCCTGAGGAGCTGTTCCAAGCAATCGAAGATCGCACAAAGAACAATATCATACACACCTTCGCCGATGAAACAACTCTCACTGTAGGGGCCCATGCTGTCACACATAAAAACCCGATTTTTCCAAGAAGGTCACTTATTACCTATTATGTCCCTTCTTGTCTACGTGCACTGCTTGAAATGGAGACCACGGTCCCTGAGAGATGCATGATGCTTATAAAGTTCGTTAACTTGGTATGAGATCTCTTCCATGCAGGGCTATGGTATTCGTAACTAATTGCTTTCTCAATCTTGCAGATTCTACATGAATTCATGGTAAGTATTGGGCTTGGCTCTTTGTCCTTTTTTTTGTCCCATAAAGAGGCTAAATGATAGAAATATCTAGCACGCGGCCAATAATAGTCTAGTTGATGTAAAAGCTCCATCTGTGGATGAACCGGTAAGATACATTTCATTGGGCTCTTTTCATTTCTAACAGGCTTTACCATTCAACAAGTTCTTCGACGACGAGTGGATCGCAGAGTTGGGCCAATCCTTCGACAGACGCGTCTGGGGTGGAGCGTTACAGCCTGGGCCGGTACGGGCATATGTACGTAGACGACATAGGGGCTTCGGAGTCAACCTCATGCTTGTTACTTTCCCCTCCCTTCAGTATGCTGGAAACCCGAATACTGTCGATAACAAAATGGCCGACAAGTTCAGGAGAGGCACAAGCCTCAGCTATCTTTTCGCAACACCGCCCGTATGGGCCTCAGCTGTCCTATGTGAGGAATTCTGGACCACGATCATACCTCGACGCGGTAGTATCGCGCTTCGGCCTCCTCTACTATTTGGCTCGGCTGTTTTCAAGGGCTACAAGCTTGAGTGCCGTTTAATTGGGAATCCTCAATTCATGACTCCTGAGCTGAGAGCAGATTACGAGGCAGTCCGGACACGGTGGGCACACGCGAGCGCACAAATGATGTGTGCAAGAGCCCCGTGGTATAAGGATGCACATGAGCATTGGCGGTTGTTACCTTGGAGCAATACGGGTCTCATTACCGCAATCGATAAATTTATCTACTTCCACGCAAATCGGAATTTGGCCGATTGTCGAGAAGTGTCAGGAAAACTTGTTCTTATGGCGGCGCCGACGGTACAGACACAGACTGGGAACAAGCCAACCAAGGAGGCAGCGCTCTCCTTTCTAATAGGATTCCTTATGGTAATATCTCGTACGCTAGCCTGTTCACTACTTCTCGTTTACGTTCCTAATAAAATCGAGATGAGCATAAGCTACCTAGTCATTGCAACTCTAGCCAGAAACTTACTAACCTTCAGATACATAGTTCCCATTAATCCTGGCGATCTCGTGAAGCCTAATGTACCAAGGGCGGCATGGTACTACCCAAGCAATGAAGCAGCGCCTGCGCTTATCGCTGAGGGGGTCGAAAATCGTATCGGACCTCATGACGTCAACCAGGGCAAACCCCCAACAATTGTGAGACGACATAAGTGGGCATCAAGTTACCAAGATCTATTGAAGGCTTTTATTGGTATTTACGAGTTCGTTGAGCACAGTATAGGCGCGCCGCTGTGAGTTGAGCCTTACACCTTCTCGTATCAAGATTTATATTTCGTGGAGCTACCCTTCTAACAGGTATCAATGTATAGCGAGTGGCTGACAAGGATTGTTGGTTGTTTTGGTCAACTGCACGTGGAACGCACTTCGAACCCGAATCCTGAAAGCTGGGGATCCTTCACCTTTAGGACACCACCGTACGAGCCAGGTTGGGTCACAGCACCGGCCTATCGGCAATCATTCCTCATACCTCTAGAGAATCGATATAGAGCTGTTGTTCCATGGACCGAAGCAAAACTACCTGCACCAACCCCGACCCACCCAGATAGTCCATACATGTTGCCGAAAAATTTCCCGGACGTGTATCGGCGTAGGCGTCCCATTGGATACGCAGCCCAAGTTTCGCCTTTGAAGAGGAACTACCCCAAGCACTTGTATATTGGCGATGTGGCGAACCATAGGGCTCTCAATGACGCATGGGTTGTTGAAATGGATGGTGCCGATGGGTTTAACGTTTTCGATATAACAAGTGCGTTACGTCGACTCCTCTTCTGATTGTTCCTTACTGTGCCCGCTAATGGCTTCCTAGGCGAATTGAGAAACGTACGTGCCACGGAAAGTGACTATAGCGCTATGGTAGTTACCGGCCCTCAAGGCCCAATGTTGACCCAAGATTTAAGGGCCAATGTAGTTCGTGTAAAGCTCAACACCAGCATCGAACCAATTGGCAAATTGATTCTACCAAGGCGCATAGAAGAGCTTGCGGAGTGTAATGGTCAGAACGGGCGCCCTGCTTGGACTAGCTGGGGTTCGCTCATCTTCGACGTAACAAGTACGTAGTAGATATCATGTTCGTTACTATTGCCTTGCTAACTTCCCTAAGACTTCCCTGCCCGATCATCTGAAGAAAGAGAGGCTTTATCTGAAAGCTATGGTGGCTCATTGTCCCAAAATCTGATAAGAACTGAAGATGAAACAAAGCATCTGCTGGAACGCCTTAATCCCTATTCTTGTGCGTTTCTTCACATACCACGGCCAACACGGCACATGAGATACTTTACGCAAAACACGCTACGATGGTATGACAATCCCTCCTACGGGATATATATGGCACTGGGAGGTGGAGTCTACGATATTTCTGGTCAGTTATTATTTGGCGCTAAAGGTTATAGCGAGCTCAGTACTAATTTCCTTTAGAATATCTACATTTTCATCCCGGCGGTTCCAGGTTGTTCATCCACTGCACAGGGCGAGACGCTACTCACCAGTTCACTCAGTATCACAATCCCGAAATATTGAATGTTAGTATCTACTTACACATATATTCCCTTTATAACTATTTCCCAAAACAAGTTTAAAAAATTTTCAACTAACCCTCTTTTCTATATAGTCCTACGGTTTTATGCAAGTTGGTTATCTTGTTCCGGAATATACTTGGGAAGAGTTGCAAGAAAATCATGTTGTAGTTCATGATTGGGTGTTCGACATAAGCTGTACTGTCCCCTCTAAATCCTCCATCACGTTTTGAACGCTAACTCATTTACGTGTCCTGAAGCGCTTCAACAAGAGGATCCTAGTCTCTTTGTCTTCCTCCAAAAATACACCCGGCAGGACACAGCGGCTGCGGTGGCTGGACATGACGACGATGCGACGGCTTTAATTAAGTTATTCCTCGAAAAGGAATCTTTAATTGTCGGCAGTTTAGCGAGGAATAACTTGCTAGACATACCCGTAGGAGAGTTCCTTCGATATAACGATTATGAAAGCCTACAGGGTGCGTGGGTTGCCGTCGATGGTTATATCTACAATGTTGGAAGTGCGTTTACCCTGTTTAAACTCTTCCTTACGAAGAGTTCCATTCTTGAACATGCGTATAGGTATTAATATGTTATCAGGTCTCATGAAGCACCCCCAGTATTACGAATATCAAATAGGGTTCAACTGGGCTGCGAAAGAGTTGACAGATCCGATTTTAGCCCAGTGGCTAACAACGAATTTCCAGGCTCGATGCATAGGTAGACTGGTTGAGGGACCTGCATTGCCAGAACAAAAGCCAGAACCGGATTGGGAATTCGAAAACATGGCTTTCTCTTGGGACAACGGAGATGTGATTGAATATGTGGGTGCCGAAAATGACACCGGTGTAGATGTAGAGTAAATGTGTTTCCGTATACGGGGGTATAATGATAGGAGGCACCTACTTACCTACATTTAGGTGTCTAACATCCCAGCCTTGTTCTCTTTCACATGACAACTAGGAATTTTGTATCATTAGTCATTAGGAGGTATCTATTTAGACAAATTGAGTTGTTGTTTCTGGCTGAACGGATTTTTCTTTTCTTCTTTTCTCTCTTTTTTTTACTAAAAAAAAAAAGAAAGAAAGAAAGAAAGCCTCATCTTTTAGGTACCTTATATACCTGATATATATCTATAGTCCCTTCATGCCCTTTCCCAGTCCTTTCTATGACCACCTTAGAACTCGGTAGTCATTGCAATGTGTCCCCTCACATTAAATATCTTATTTACCATGATACAAGGTACCTATCATGTACATATAGCTTCATCCGTATCAGCACATCCATCAAGGATGATTGCGGTGCTGTATTCGGTATAAGTAGCCGCTACTGCGGTTCTTATCGAGCACCCAGATGTGCTTAGACTATAGCTATCGTTTATTAGCGCTGACTATAACTTGTTCAAAACTTTCTATTTGTAGATTCTTTCGTTGACGATTCCTAACACCAGCAGACTTACTGTTATATCTCAGATTAGGTACGCTGGGACCGTTGCGTAACAACTACTTAAGACGAAATAAGTCCTGAATTGTTTGCTGGGTTGCGTTGAAAAGTCGTCCTATCGGTATCTCATCCGCCAACATTGTTTACGGTGAAGCTACCATGTGATAAACGCAACTCTCTCAAATTATAAACAGCCATAACTGATGCTGTGCTCGAAATGCAAAATTTTGGATTGGTTAGACCATAAAATATCATATGCCGTGGTATACTAGCTACGTCGCATCCGGCATAATGTAGACGTTCCAATTGTTATATGAGGTACCATCTAAGCTACTATCATCATGCTCTAGATACTCCAGACCGGAATATTCTCCGTGCAGCCCATATAGTCTCGGCCCCTCTCGTCCGTCGTGTATCCAGGTTTAACGCCATTCCCAAAATGAAGTTGCAATGAATTAGCCGGCAATCCTACACCACCCATGATTGTTGTGATAGTGTGGGGGAAGGGGGGGATTAACCCCAAGGAGTCTGCTGAACACTGGGGTAATAGGGGCGTCTCTCAGCACAATACGCGCCCTCGTAACGGCGGATCCGGACCACGAGTTGATATACGTTCACATGTATTGTACCTTGATTTAATATCCGGGGTTGTAATTATGCATGAAGCACGAGTGCTGTCCTCTTAAGTCAGAGACATTCAACCAACGTCTATTTAGACGAGTAAACCTCAGACGCAGTCCCTTCTCCCTACTCACGCGACTTACAACTTCTTGGGCCATCATCAAAATGTCGTCAGAACAAGAAAAGGCCTTAGGGCTTAAAGACCACTGGAAAGCCATAATTGCGATGACCCTGGTATCCCTAAGCTCCTTTCAGTATGGGCTCGACTTCGGTATCATCGGCGGTCTTCAAGCCATGGTCCCGTTCCTCAAGGTAGTATACCCGTCCCCAAAGAGAAAAGGCAGTGTCTCACACTTCATTTCCAAGGTCTTTGGGCAAGAAGACCCGTCGACTCCACTCGGATGGAATATTTCACCCGACAGACAGCAGCTTATTGCGTCTTTGATGGTTCTCGGCGCCTTTGTATCATCTTCATCGGCTGGGTTTACTGCCAGGTATATCGGCCGTAAACTATCTTTGTGGATAGCATGCATTGGCGTCTTTGCATCAACTGCCCTCATGCAAGCTACTGCAAGCATAGGGGGTTTGTATGCGGGAAGATTGATCATTGGACTTGCTAATGGATTACTGATGACACACTCCCAGCTCTATGGTACGTCACATGAATATCCCCCCTTTATAAATTCTGAAGCGCCTTAACCATAGCAATAGTAAGCAACTTATTTGGTTCCATTCATTCGAGACTAGCCTATGTATATGACTACATCGGATATGTGATGGTGTGTCGTGCTTGGAAATCTCGTGGGCAGTGAAAACCATGAAGAGGCAGAGCAACCAGGAAGGTTGGAAAGTTCCAAAAGGGAAGTTTTATATCAACTTATTGCACATGCTAACAGGTAGCAGATCCAGGTATGTAAACGCTTACAGGATTAACAGTTGTTGAAATTGACTTACACACCGACGCAGGAAAGTGTCCCCAGCCGCTATAGGGGGCTAGGAATATCGTTTTCCTCGTATTGGATCTCCTTTGGTAAGATCTGAATCAAGCAAGCATTGATAATATAAGCCGTTCTGCTCCGTCCCTAACTTGACTAGGATCCCTAATTGGAACTATCGTCGATAACTTTGCAGCCAAGATCGCAACCAGGAACGCTTACATTATCCCTTTGGGTATCGTCCACATTATTCCAGGGGTATTGTTTATCGGGCTGTTTTTCGTTCCCGAATCGCCGCGCTGGTTAGCCGCAAAGGGTAGATTCGATGAAGCGGAACGATCGTTACGACGGTTGCGGCCTGCACAGTGGTCCGTCTTGCAGGAGATTTCAGACATGAAGAAGACTCTCGAAGCTGAGGCTAGACTCCAGTCAAGCACTGGATACCTGGATCTAGTTAGAAACCCGATTGACCGCCGCAGGACGACCATCGCCATACTTGCTCTTACAAGTCAAGCAGCGTCGGGATCGATGTTTGTCATATGTTCGTGTATAGAATCTCTTCAAACCCCTGATCTATGACTGACAGCTGTAGCTTATGGAACATACTTCTTCGAGATGGCTAACGTAGGGAATGCTTTCGAGAACTCATGCATCCTCACCGGAGTTGGGGCTGCCGCCTTAGGAGCCACCTCTATTCTGATCACCAAGTTTGGACGTCGGCGAGTTATGATGATTTCTGGTTTTGTTTCCTGCGGAATTTCTCAACTTGTTATCGCCATAGTGTACACTGTCCATCCCAATACAGAAAGCTCCGGGAAAGCTCTTGTCGGTATGAGCGTCCTCTACATCGTCGCCTACAACGCCATGGTGGCACCTTACGCATGGTTATCCGGAGGCGAGCTTTCCTCGCAACGTCTACGCTCTCACACGTTCGGTCTAGCTACTGGTGTCGGATTCTTCTTTGCGGTAAGTCCTTCGAAGCCTTTGTTTTGGAGCCTGTAATTAATTCTGTGAACCAGTGGCTTACAAGTACGTTTCAATAAATTGCGAATTCCCACGCGCAATGCTGAATACTAACCCGACGTAGCTTTCACGGCGCCCTATTTTATTAACCCCGACTCCTTGAATTGGGGGCCGAAATACGGTTATATCTGGACGGGTTCGTGCGCTATTGCCGGTACCTGGATCTACTTCTTCTTGCCTGAAGCAAAGGATCGTACACTAGAAGACTTAGATGAAATGGTACGTTTTTTCAACTAAATCCACCTCATCAAATGGTTGCTGACTCTCGTGTAATAGTTCGAAGCCCAACTTCCGGCACGAAAATTTCGTAGATATCGTTGCACCGGAAAGCACGCCGCCCTTGGCGAGAAGGCTCAAACGGAATATATTGAGGAGAATGTCGTTCAAGGTAAATAGGTTTAACTAATCAAGTGGCTCTCTTTACATTCAGGCTTCATATCAACGGGCGGAGTGCATTCAGACTGGCCATGAACCCTGTACTTTTAGGTACCTAGCCATCAATTATGTACACACATCATATGGACGTTGAAAGCGTCTAGACGTAAACACTTAGGGAGCTAGGTATTGGGAAATCAAATATCTGAGCTGCTAACAATAAATGGAAAATACAAAGTGGTTACTACGAAGAAATGCTGTGATGTATCGTTGTGATGTGATGTATGGCAAGCAAGCAAAATGATTGATCATAGTCTAGACTCTAAGCCGCCAGAATCTCCTTAACAGCAGCGTCGTATGTTTCCTCGGCATTCTTCTCCGCGTCGAAATCAAAGATCCATTCTTGCCTAGGGAACTGAATAATCTCTGGGTTCTTCTTAACTTTCTCCCAATCCGTCTTGTGCCACATATCTCGCGTGCTCTCGCCGGTCTTCTGGGTTTCGCGGACGCGATCGTACCTGATCTTCTCGTGTGCCCTAACCGAAGTTGGTACGCTCTCCTTACCGCCACGACGAAGACATACTGCAATTACTACGCCGTCTTCTAGCGCCTGGGTTGCTCCTTGAGCACTAGTGGGAAGGAATGGGTGAGCCGAATCCCCCAGAAGCAGGATTCGCCCAGACGGGCTGACCCAAGTAGGTAGAGGATCTCGGTATACCAGCTTCCAATCGACAAGCATATTTTCCGGTGTTTTTGAGATGATTCGAGTACACATGGGATCCCAGTCCTTCAGTGCCTCTTTCACTTCGGAGAGCTTCCCAGGGAAGCTCCACGACTCGTCAATATCATGTTCATCGGGATGGGTCAAGACCCAGCAACAGTCTGAACCGTTCTTGATAGTGCTGAACAGGAAGTGCATGTCCGGGCCGATCCAGCCGTTGAAAGTATCGCCGTTGTTGCAGAAGTGAGCGGTCTCCGGGTCGGCGAGCATGTCCTTGTTTGAAAACCTTCATTTTATTAACAGCTATCCATAGGTACCTAAGTTATAGAGCCTATCGGGATATTTTCCTTACCATGAACGCCAAACAGCGTATCCGCTACTCTTCGGTCTATCCTCGTAACCCAACACGGACTTTCGTGCCTTGGATCGCACTCCATCTGATGCGATGACTACATCGGCAGCGACCTTCATATATGGTTAGCGAACCGCAAATATCAAACGCTTCATGTAACATGCCACTAACCCTTCTACCATCTTCGAGTACGATACCGGACTGCGTATCGTCTTCAAAATATGTTTGGATTTTGTGTCCTAAGTGGATTGGTATTTTGAGATCGTCCCTGGCGTAGTTAAAGACCACCTCGTGCAACTCGCCTCTGTGGCCGTTAAAATTAGGCGCATCCTCAGCATATTGAGGCGTTTTCTGGTTGACAACGACCTCGCCGGTATCGTATTTATGAATGTTGAAACCGTACTTCCTCAGATCGATGCTAAGGGGCCGCATTCGTCGGACTACTTCTCCATTTGACCAGCGGTAGAAAATCCTCCCCGCATTTGGCCCGAACGAGATGATATCGCCCAGTGTCTTAAGTTCTGAAAAAGCCTCGTATACCTCAACGTCGTGTCCCTGACGGTGACACTCTATCGCCGCTCCTAGACCACCAAACCCTATAGAATAGAGATTAAAGTCTGCCAACCAGATGCTCACTTCGGAGGCTTTCTATAACTTGCATCGAGTACGTACCGGCCCCGACTACAATTACCTTGATACCCGTCTTGGGCCGCTCTGCTGCCCCGTTGGTACGACCGTTAACTGTCATATTGATAAATAATTTACTAGATAATCTCCCGAGGTGCAAGAAGATAGAAGTCCCCTTGTAGCAGAATTGAGTCCACCAGAATTGCGACTGGATAATCAACCGATTTTAGTTGCATGCCGATGGCTAATAACGTCTTAATACCATCGACATTTAAATATGCCGGCTGCTCCTAGTCCTAGACGACTCCAACAGTCCGAACACGCGATGCGGGGGTGGGGGCGTTGACATGGAGATTTCCCCAAGTCGAGGGAGAGGCAACCCTTTCCAGTCACGCTACCATGTTCCCGAGGCCTAAGGTAAGAGTAATCGGCTTGAGAAGGGATTATAGCAGACTATTACCTAGGTGGAGTGTCGGATAGTTTGTCCGGAGACTACAAACGACTTATCGAGTTAGGTAGGTAGATACATACCTTGACTGTCTTACCTCCAGACGGGCAGACGGAGGCATGCTGAGTGTATACTACCCCCCCGATCTTAGCCTATACTCGATGGTCAACTCTCGGCCCAAAACACCCAAAACACCCAAAACGCCCGATTTCACAATGTGTACCTTAGGAGCTAGGCAATGCCGATGGTTTTTTTTTTTTTTTTTGAACCCCAAGTCGTAGGAATGCGCTCTAGTCTATTAGTACGACGGGAGTCAAGCTCGGTTAGGAAGGAACATTAACTTGCCCTCCTTATCCGCGGGATATGTTGAATAAAATAGACAGAAAATTATAGAATCGCCCTCCACATCTCACCCCTCGTGAATGTTAACTATTCTGTAGAATCCAAGGTGCTAAAATGACTTCAAATTCAGAGTGGGGGGAGAAAACTTCCGGGTTGGAGGTCGCTAGGGCTTACGCTCAACATATTGAAGGTCGAAACGGTGGGTTTATCCCCTGCCCAAGATCTTCAGACGACTCTAACAAGATGAGACAGTCCTGATTACAGGCGTAGCACCAGTAGGTGTTGGTGAAGGAACCGCAGTCGCCTTCGCATCCCAGAAACCTGCGACCCTCATTCTAGTGTCAAGGACGAAAGAAAAGCTCGATAGCGTAGCATCACAGATCCATAAATTATATCCAGAGGTCAATGTGAGGGTTGTCACGATAGATTTGGCCTCTCAGGCCTCAATTCGCAAAGCCGCTGCTGAAGTTTCCGGTATAATCTCGAGGTTAGATATACTAGTGAACAATGCTGGTGCTACTTACAACTCTCGTCGTTGGACGGCCGAGGGGATCGAAATACAGTTTGGCGCAAACCATATCGGTCCATTCTTGTTCACGAAGCTCATTTACCCTCTCTTGAAAGAAGCAGCTCGACACTCACCCGCCGGAGCAACTCGAATAGTTAACGTGTCTAGTCACGGACATCGACTATCTCCCATCCGATTCCACGACTACAATATTGAAAATAAAGAGGTTCCGGACGAGGAGAAGCCTTTCTCTCCTCTTCCGCCTGCCTTTGGAAGGATCCAAGACGATGGATACATGCCTACTATTGCGTACGCCCAGAGTAAAACAGCCAACATATTATTCACACTTTACCTTCAAGATCATTTGGAAAACGGGATCACGTCGTACGCTGTACACCCAGGAGGTAAAGAAAAAAAGAATAAACCACTTCTCCGTTGCGAAAAACAGACTAACTTACCATTGACGCAGGTGTGGAGAGTCAACTTGGCCGAGAACATGACGACGAGATGGCCGATACTATTGCGAAGACGTCATCATTTTGGAAGAACTGCGACCAAGGCGCGTCAACGACGCTTGTAGCAGCATTAGACCCGGCGTTGAACAGTGAGTTTTCATATCTACCAGTACCTAAGCTTAGGTACCTACCTACCTCCAAAGTATACCTTCTAATACCAAATGCCAGCTCCCGGCGGCCTCTACTTGTCCGACTGTCAATTCTTCCCCTGTGCGGACTTTGCTAGGGATCCCACCGCAGCCGAGCGTCTTTGGAACTTGAGCGAAGATCTAATCAAGGAGAAGTTTATTCTCGAGTAAATGTCGCATCGCTAAAGGACGATCCGTCTGAAGATAGATTGGTACGTACATATCGAAGTGGCAAACAACATGTGTTATAGACGTCATTTAGCAAGATAATTATGAGCGCGTCTATCTACATTGCGATGTTCTCGTGTTCTAGCCTCCTAGGCAAGTATATTTATAGGTCAGATCTCCCAAAAAGAAATCTGGTATACCAGCTCGTTCCGAGATACGATTTCTATTTTCAGCTTAGCCATGAGGAAATATTGATTAACGAAAAAAACGGGAACACGTCTATCGGAAAACTGAAATGACACCAGAAGGCTCCGGCCCTTCGCTAGACCTATCAATAGGTGCAATATCTACCCCGGCTAAACCGGCTGTATATGTTAGCATAGTCGATCTTAAGCGAGTGCCTGCTTGGCCAATTTCTACGCTCCGTTAGGGGTAATGGATTTTTCTTGGAGAGGAGATGCTGATAAACATGCATTTTGTTTGAATCTTCCTTTGGGGTGGGAGATTTCTCTTTCTCTCCATGACGGAAGTAAGGTCTGTTGTGTTGCTGTATTGTTATATTATCGAGTAGAAAGTTGCTTAGTTACTACATCCTCGGTGGCTCTCGATTCTTGGGCGAATTCACCACGATGAAGTTGATCATCGTAACTGCTCTAATTGGAGCGTGGACAAACTATGTGGTCGGGGAAGCGCTGATCACTCGCGAGGTGGTAACCAATCTCCCGACGGGTTGGATGCTTGGGAAACCAGCGAAACCGGAAGAGCCTATACAATTGACCATCGCGCTCAAGCAGCCCAGAATCAACGAACTAAAAGCACGTCTCGATCGTATTAGTGACCCGCGGCACGCCGAATACGGGCACCATCTCACGAGGGACGAGGTTAGAGCCTACCAAGCACCCGATCAGAAGGCCCTGAACTTGGTCCACTCCTGGCTCAAGTCAAACAGGATTACCAATATAACTGACGAAGGCTCGATGGTGAAATTTACCTCAACTGCTGCGGAAGTGAATAGGATCCTTCGCACCAACCTGGGCTATTATGCCTTTCGAGACTCTTCACCATTCATGCGTGCGCAATCATATGCACTACCTCGGATACTTGATGGGAACATTGAGTTTGTACATCCAATCTCCAACTTCATGTCGCCACCTCAGTCCAGGCTTAAACACCGCCCTTTCCGAAAAGCCGCCTTCAAAGCAAGTGACGACGAGCAGCCTTGTCTGTCAGGTGTCACGCCAGCATGTCTCAAGAAGCTGTACAACATAACATACGCCAACACCACAACGCCCACAGAGTCACCTGTCCGGTTTGGAATAGCCGGTTTCCTTGAGCAGTGGATTAAATACGACGACGTTTCCGAATTCCTTGGAAGGTACTCACCGGAGCTGGGACCACTCAATTACAACTTTACAGTGGTTACGCTAAATAACGGCACGAATCCCCAACCCAACGAGCCAGAATCGAGAGCGGGACTAGAGGCCAGCTTGGATGTAGAATATGCCATGGCTCTTTCTTACCCTGCGAATGTGATTTATTACTCAACAGGGGGACGAGGGGAGAAGATCGATCGCGAAGGGAAAGTAATGCCGTCAAATAGGAGCGACAACGAGCCATACCTTGAATTCTTCCAGTATCTTCTCGAACTTGAGGATGATAAGATACCTCATGTAATGAGTATCTCATATGCCGATGATGAGCAGTCGGTGCCAGCTCCGTGTACGTGATATTAAGAAGCTTCATCCTCCCCCCCCCTAGAAGCTTATTTGGAACTTGATGTTTCGTTTCTGAGACGGGCTTAACCTTAATTTTCAAGTAGCAACTTGAAATAACTGCTAACTATCGTCGTTAACAGATGCTACTCGTGTGTGTGATCTTCTAGCTCTTGTTGCGGCTCGCGGCATTACAGTCCTGTCTGGCTCCGGCGATGGGGGCGCCGGCGGTATTGGACAGAACCAGTGCTACAGTAACGATGGCAGAAGGCGTAGAATATTCCTTCCGACATTCCCGGCAAGTTGCCCGTACGTGACGGCGGTGGGCGCAACAGGGAATAATCTGCCTCTAGAGGGAGCCGACTTTAGTACCGGTGGCTTCAGCAACTACTTCGTCAGGCCAGAGTGGCAGAAGGGCGCGGTGGATCAGTACATATCTGCCCTCAATGGGTCCCACAAAGAACTATACGACGCGTCTGGTCGTGCGTTTCCAGATATCAGTGCCACGGGTACAAACTACGTTATCCAAGTAGGGGGTTACCAGACCGACGTGCTCGGGACGAGTGCCAGTACGCCAGTCGTGGCGGCTTTAGTGGCGCTGATTAACGATTCGAGAATGAAAGCGGGGAAGAATAGCACCGGATGGCTGAATCCAGCGCTCTATTCGCAGCCTGTCAGGGAAGCGTTACATGATATCACGACAGGCGTCAGTCAGAGCTGTGTGTTTGGCGATGCTAAGGAGCCTGGATGGGAGAGTCTAGAAGGATATGACTGTGTAACTGGTCTTGGATCCGTAGGCGACTTTACAAAGCTGCTGGACGTATTAGGATGATGAAGATTAAGTACCTAAGGTAGTTAGTTACCTACGTACCTAAATATATAGGTATTGTTGCGATAAGAGATAATGGGGAACTTGGTGTATCTAGGAATGGAAGTTTGACTTTGACAACTTTGTCAACTTTTTTTTTTTCCATTGGTGTCGGCAATTGGAGAGTTACTTTTAACGTCCCTTAGGTAATGCTGCCAGCTTGCATGCGACTCTAGTAGGTACCTAGGTACCTAGTATTACCAAGAGGATCTCCGCATTTTAAGGTACGAGGTATCAGACTAACCGTTATTGGGGTAAATTTAGCAACTTAACACGCGTTACTGGTACCTAGGTACTGATATCTCAGTCAGGACTCACTGACTCAGGAGTGGTCAGCTTACGTATCCAGGTACTCTACTCTAGGTAGGTACAATATGTTAGTGTAGGTAAGTTCCAGTGTTTACCTACATGGTACGGACTCCACACCAGCTAAAGACGATTCGCGCTTTCCTACCTGGTATATATGTACGATAATATACCCAAGATCAAAGGTTAGTTACTACCTCTTGTCGACCTCGTACGTACGTACCTAGGTAGGTACTTACTCCTACTTTCTTTCCTACATACCTAACCCAACCTATAATGCACCTTGAGCTAACTACCTACCTACTGTAAGGTACCTACTCTTTATATTATTATTTTTTATCCTCTTATTTCTGCCGTTCATCTTCGAAACTGCACCCAAAGTACCTTCGACTATTCGATTACCTTAGATAGATTTCTATACTGGGGGGGGGGGGGGGGGCGGCGGGGGGCGGGGCGGGCGGGGGGGGGCGCGGGCGGGGGGCGCGGGGCGGCGGC